TGTTAATAATGAAGTAGTTTAATAATGGTTTTAATTGAATGAGAACGAAAATTGCCAAAGATAACACCGTTCGTCTCCATTTTTTTAGATATGGTCTTATCGGTTCCAACTGCTGATGGCACTCAAAATGTATACGCTTTTAAATGACGAATTGCTACCCTTTGAAGAATTGGACGCACCTGATTTGTATTTTCAGTATTATCCCACCATTTATACGGATTCTAGAAAAGGTAAGCGGTATTGATTTCTAATTGATATTTATCGTTTCTTAAAGATAAGATTTTTCTAAATTCATATTTACTGGAAACTTATTGAGAGAAACTTGTTAAATTGACATTCTAGGTTCGTTGGTGCCATTTAGTTTGAGGTTGGTGCATGCGGAATCGTTACGTTTTACACCGTATCCGTGGGCTGCAACGAAGCGTATTGACGCTTTAGAGATGAATGTTCAGAAGGTTTATTTACTGTGGATTTTAATTTTGACTTTGGTTCGTAGTTGTGGTCATCATCACAGTTCTATCAGAAACAGATGAGCATTTGCAGTAGTCGTATGATGAGTGTATGTGATCCGAAATGCTTTAAACAATTTGATACGCAGGTGATAAGAAATTTAAAAGAGAAGCAAACGACGAACGCTCAACATTTAGACTTATGGAAGCAACGTTTATTGAGTGTACAAAAAATTCGTGCAAGGACGTTATTTTTTTTGAAGGTATTGTTTTTTATTTTGTTGGAATTGTTTTTATTTGAACTTAATGCATAGATACATACATATTCACGTACCACATGCTTTCACTCTCATCCATTCGTTCATTCAATGCTTTCGTTTAAACTGAAGTGTTGTTTGAAAAAAGGAAATTCTAATGATTTATCTACCTACCTATGAGAAGAAATCCTGTGCTAATAGTTGCAATGGAAAATGTTGAATCGTGAATTCTTGTTTCATCTCTCTTTCTTGAATAAAAGATGAAACAAAGTGGTAAAACGTAAGAATAGTGTTGATAATAACGATAGTTATTGTAATGATAATAATATTACTATTTAAAAAATGATGAAAGCGATTGATGAGTTTAAAGGAATATGGAACATCAATGTCGTTATACGGTCGAATTGCGAGCCAAGAAGAGAACGAATCGCATCGTTTAGCAATACGTTTAATGTTGGCACGAATGGCACTTTCAATCGGTAGTGAGAAAGAGGCTGAGCGATATTTCAAAGAAGTTACTCAGTTGGATGAAGATGAGATTCTTGTTTATAAGTAGGTTGATTGTTTGATACATGTTTGTAATATTAAATAAATGGTTATGTGAGAATGAGTATAATAATATTTGTTTACATAATTGCAGGTCTTTGAAATGCATTTTTAACGGTAATTACTCGCAAGCGTACGAACATCTTCAAAGAATTAGCAAAACAGTGCAGTCGAATGCGAAAGTAAGTAATAACTGAAGTATTAAGAGTGTTTTTGTCATGACTGGTTTACTGCTATTGCTGTTTTTGTTGTATAAATTCATTGTAATCGTTATCATTATCAGCTGCGCAGTGTTTTTAATTTCTTTGAACATTTTTTCTGTTTATTCAGATTCGAAACAATACAGCTGTGTGCTTACTGTATATTGGCAAACCGTTAGATGCTTTGAAAATATTGAATGATCAACACAGTACCAATGGTAATGGTAGTGATGTGGTACCAAATGAACCAATTTGCATAAATTCAGTGAATATAGCTGAGTTGGCAACTTGTGCTATTAAACAGTATAAGGTGAGTAATTAGTGCTTCATAAGTGAATGAAGCAACCGATGATATTATTAATTTGCGTCATTCGTCACTGTACTGAGCTAAAACCAAAACAGCTCGTTTTTGGTTTGTCATGTACATCTATTATATCAAAATTAAAAGAATATCTTGGTGATTAATTTGTATTATTGTGTTTATTAATTATTATTCGTAACTCATCACAATTCTAGGAAGAACTGTTTTCGCGCAACGTTGACAAATTCCCGGATATGTTCGATCCGGCTATATTAAAGCTATAGCTCGCCTGCTGCTGAACGGCAAATACGTTGAACTTGTTTCTGTTGAGTTTATACGTTGACTTGAGAGAGTTGGTTTACTTAGTTCGAAGTGCTCGCTTGAGTGTAACTGATAAGCATACGTTCGTAAGGGCATTTGTTTCACTACAATTCAGTGTTAATACTTATCACCAGTGGCGTAGCCAGGATTTTATTCAGGGAAGGGGGCGCGAAATAGTCTGCTCTGGTGTTCGGAATCTGGACCACTCCACTCTTACAGATGCACATGCGGGATCTCCGTTCCCAGAAAGTCCTTCGCACCCGCGAAGCTGCCGCGGAGACCCCCCCCCCCCCCTCACATCTTTGATGGCTTCCATAAAATACGTGCAAGTAAAATAATAGTAATTCATTGTTGTAACTCGCACTTATTTATTAATCGTGCCAAACGCTGTATGTAAGTGTTATAAACGGTGATGCCCAAACTCCGGATCAAAAAACTTTTTTTCCAGCCCCTTCGGAAAAAGATACATTACAGGGCTGCATGATAATATTTTCCAGATCCGGGTTGCTCCAGAGGTTGAGGTGCAATTAGATTTGTCAGTTTGTGTTGTACTGAATTTAATTTTCAAAATGAATACTGGGAAAATGCAATTTCAGTGGGGTTTGATTTGTTATTGTGATATTGAAGTAGTAAATTTGAATAAATAAATTTAAATAAAGTGAGTGAAAATTTGTAAAAATTGTCTCTATAAATAATCGTGATTTCGGATATTTTTGTGTGTATTGGTTTCGGTGGAATAAATGGTTTTTTCGGAAAGCTGTGTTTGTGTTGGATCGGCGGACTATAAGGCTATCACAGTTATGAATCGGTTTCACTTTTGTAATGAATAAACGAAGCCCTTGAGTCACTTCACCAAAAATCGTTTCAGTTGCATTTGTTGGGTGAGTATCACATTTAGACACCTTCTTTTATGCTGATCGGTCGTTGGTCACCGACCAATCAGCTCATCTTTTGGTTTCAGTTGATTGCCATCGACGCAACTCTTATTTGCCTCATTATGAATTATTATTAGTGATCGCAATCACATTATTTACAAATAATTTTATATTTTACTTACATGTAAATATGCTTGTAACTTGCATACTTACATCCCTACATACGTATCTAATTCTTATTGTTTTTTTTTCATTTATTTGGTCCTTATTACAAATATATTTACGTCACTACTCACATCTTTCATTTGAAACAGTTGATGGACTCCAGTCGGATTCATATCAAGAAGGAAGTTAGAATATTCTATTATTGTTCATTGTGTTTATTTAACTTCAGTATATTTTTACTGGTAGGTATATGAATGATGTATTTTTTGAAGGAATGATATAATTCGTTTTGATGCGGTTATACGAAGCTAATACAGTGATGGTTCACTGTATTGTACATTAAGTTAAGTCTTCACTGAAATGATTGAATGCCACGTGAAAATATCACCGAAATTATGTAATTGTATTTTCTGTTGTACAATATTTCATTCAGGTTCATTAGAACAGGATATGGTTGCAGTGTTTTTGTTGGTTGATTATTTTGTAAGCGAAAGTGACGTGTGCCCATCATTTGTTTATTATCATTCACATTGAATTCGTTATCGATAGTGTTATTACTACGATTACTGATATAAATATTATTGTTAATATTATGATCATAAATAAATGATGAGTGGTTGTGTGTGTTCGTAATTCAGAAGTGAATGGAAATACTAATGACGTTTTGAAGAAGGAACACGTTCTGAGGCATTCTCATCCGCAAATTCTAATCGGGGCTGACCATTTCTATGACTTAATACTCCCAGCCAATACGAAGAAACTTTCATCCGGATTTCAAATGGTGAATTCAACCGTTGGATGGATGCTAACTGGCAAAAGGATAATGAAAGAGAGACATCGCAATGAACAATTCTTGGCTTAATTTTTAATTGCAAATACAGTTGGCATGAAGAAAAATGATGACGATATCGACAATTATTGGAAATTAGAACTTATCGGCATCAAAGAAGGAGAGATAGGAAACTTCTGATGACATTTGTAAGAAGTTATTCCTTAAAACTCAAGAAAGTAAATGAACGTTGCTCGGTGAGTTGGCCATGGAGGAAGGCAGATCCAGATCTGCTCTCAAATTACGACTTATCACTCGGAAGATCAAAATCAATTTTCGAATCACTCAGGAAAAAAAATTATCTCCAACAAATCCATGTCATACTCAGAGAACAATTGGATCAAGGCATTATAGAATATGCTTGCAAAGAAAGAGCATGCTGCATTATTTACCTCATCAGGCGATGGTAAACCCGAATAAAGAAACTAATAAGATACGAGTAGTTTATGACGCTTCCGCTAAATGTGGTAGCGGTCGAAGCCTAAATAAATCTCTACATCGGGGACCAAACAATACGAGATACGCTAGGAATTCTCCGATGGAGACAAATGGAAATTGCCATAATAGCCGATATTAAAAAGGCTTATCATCAAATAGAACTAAACGAAGTCGACCGAGACTCAACAAGATTCCTTTGGCTCAAAGATTGTTTTAAAGGAGTTACCAATGACAGTTTGGTAACTTTTCACTTCAGAAGGGTACCGTTTGGAGTCATTTGCAACCGATCCCTTCTTGCAATGGTACTACAAAAACATCTGCAAGAGAAAAGCACACCATTTGCGACAAAAATCAAAGAAAATTTATACGTCGACAATGTCATAATCAGTGCAAATAGTGTTACCGAAGCTGAATTAAACTAACAAAAAATAAAGAAAATATTCGCAGAAGTTTGAATGAATATCCGAAAATTTCTTTTCAACAGCGAACAGGTGAACAACAAAATACCTTCTGAAGATCGACACAAGGAATCAAGAGTAAAGGTCTTTGGACTTATGTACTTCAGTTCGTTATTTGAATACTGGTGATTTTACTGGTGAAATAATGAAATGGTGACTTTCTTGTGAAAGAGTATGGCGGTTTTATTTTCATAAATTTTACATAACCGAAAGTTTCCATAATCGCCAAGGCAAGTGGTTTTGTGAATGTTGAAGGGATGAATTTAACGAAACGATTTCGTCAAATTCGCATCGAAAAACGCACTAAAGCACTACAAGAAAAGAACAAGTCTCTTGAGGTTTTTTTTTCACTCCTACTTTCATTCCTCTGCACAATACTACGTTTGTTTTGAATTTGCAGGCGACAGATTATGTCATTTCGTTCTCTACCTCAACGGATCTAAACGTAGATCTCTTGTGGGATTTTCGATTGGGTTGGAGTTGGCGCTGGAGGGTCAATTGATGAAGGTTGAATTTAAATTGTTATGAGATGATCGTTTTTACATCTGCTATATTCAATGTTAGATGAAATTTCAGTTCTGATCCCGATCCCGGGATCTAAGTTTTGAAAAATCCCGGGATCTCGGGATTTGGTAAAACAGGTCAATTTGTGTGAATTTTGATANTATGGCCATCTTGAATCAAACCTTAATCATTCCCATCTCATTCATATGCAGTCATCTTTGCTGTTTGCCCTTTATCATTAATGAATAGCTAAGGAAATAGTCGCAAGTTGGACGAATGACATGATCAACGACAGCTCGATGAACTTTTAAGTAAAATTTAATTGAATATTCAACTGTTTATTCTGCTCTTCATTGGTTTATATCACGCTCATCTGGATGCATTTCTAAGTGGACTAACAGAGATAATCACATTTTCTAATAAAAACCAAGAGCAACAAAGTTCGACGAAAATTTGAGTCGTTTCCTCCCACGCGATTTGTTCGGCTTCAATATTCCATCTGTTAACTGCATGTTCTAAAGACTGCAAGTTTTTTTACTTCGCTATTTGGAAACATTTGCATCCGATCGAAATGTACATGAATTCTCACTGAGTTCTCTCATAGTGAGAATTTATTGTCGAAGTGAGCAAAATTGTTCCATTCAAAAAGATCTTAAGCTTGAATATCAAGTACATTTCCATGATTTCTGATCGAAATTATCAAATATGTAAGTGCTCGATGGTTCGATGAAAGTCCATTGTGGATTTTTTTTCACTTTTTAGGTAAACTCTGAACTTTTGATTTTTTCAAAATTCAAATGATATAATTCATGCGGTGCATTTCTTTCGTAAAAAATCGAAATTTCCCAAACGACAGAATTCAGCTGACGTTAATACTGAGCGAAAATGGACTTGAAGCATTGCAAATAAGTGTTTGAGAATCAAGAATTTCATGTTCACATGCAAGTGTACAATTATTAGTTTAGACCCGAGATGACAAGATGCCTTAGCATAGAAAATGCAGTATGCCCTTGCGGCATGATCATTAGCATCATTATATGAAATATTAATTTGAATTTGAATAATTTGTTTTCTTGGATTTGTTCGATAATTTGTTGAATTAACTCCTTTCTGATTAATAATGAACATATTGGTTCGAAAAAAAATGTGTTTAAACATGTCCCGCATCGATATTTCGAAAATTGTCCTTTTTTTTGCAAACCCTAGTTCTAACTCACATTATGAACCGCAGTATTAGCGACAGCTCTTTACATATCTCAATTAATGGAAACATTGCTGATCTCTTCAATGCTTGAATATAAGAGAATCGTAGCAAACATATCGAGTAATACGCGTGTTATACCACACACATGCAAAATGGTGAGCATGTATTCGCATTGCTCAAGAAGCGAACCGAAACGAAGTTTGTATGACCGACTACGGGCTTGCCAAATGTCGGGCTTGCAATTATCGCTAGTGCATTTGTCCGTCACCCTCATGTTGTGGTGCCAAAGTTGCTAATGAATCAGATTTTGGTAAGTTCTATTTAATCATCAATTCAGGTGGGGTGTTTTAATTGATCTAAGAAACGAATTAAGATTCCTAGACGTTCGTTTGATAAGTCTACCATGTTAGGAATGCTGAAGCCGCCGTCAGGAAATTTTTACGTAGAGTGCGTCTTATCATTCTTACCATTTTTGGTACTTTTGCTGATAACGGGCGCCACCGCGCCATCACAGATGCTCGTGTGCTCATACGCGTCACACATAAGTCGAAGCCTATGCGTTAGCCTCATCACTGAGCTAATCGTAAGTCTAAGCTTAAGCGGTACTTATGCTGTTTAGTCCCTCCACCCGCANTGCGGGTGGAGGGACTAAACAGCATAAGTCTAAGCTTAAGCATACTCCTGATTTGACTTCGAATTGCATATCTACACATGGGGCAAAGTGGTAATCTAAGTACATGCGCACAGTGGCGCCCGTTATCTGCAAAAGGGCCCCATCTTTACCTCCTGTTTATTTGTTTATTCGTTTTTTATGTTCGTTTATCCCATTCATTCCGCCCAATAATATCAATTATCGTTAATGTTCTCAAAAATATACAAAAACACAAGCAATCTCAGACGAACTTGATTATCATACGTGAGCGTGTGATCTGTATGCATGAAAGAGTGCATAGGTTGCAGCGTACGTCCGGTATAGTAAAAACGTCTCGTTTCTTCCAAATACCTGCACATAATCATTTTGCAAATTTATTCAGTTATTTTTAATTTTGTTGATTAGGATGGTAATATCAAACAACATTTCGATTGGACGCATTCGCAGTTGAATGTGCAGTGTGGCCAGAAAATTATTTTAGCAACCTATTCGGCACTTACAATTACCCTGCACAATATACCTTCAGATCCAGTCCAGATGAAGTTGCAGTCACTCCTTTAACCCCGTAGAATTGTTGTAACAGCTTATTTAGCATCTTAATTCATTGTAAGCAACACTTCTGCTATTTCTTATTACAATCAATTGCGGAACCCCGTGAAATCATTTTGGGAACCTATTAAGCTTGTGGACGTCCTGCTGCGAACGTTTCTTAGTATGCTCTAACTACACTGCACATTCAACTGCGAATGCGTACGAACGAAGTGCTGCTTTGATTTTACTAACTTAAACTACAAAATTAGCACTTATTTATCCAATTATATATTTATGCACATTTATGCATTATGGATGCCTAATGTTGCAGTTGATTCACGCTTGTAATTGATAGAATCGTTCAAGATGTTTGCTTATTGTTGTGTTTATGCAGACACTGATTCTCGTTGTTTGTTATTTTTTGAATTATCAGTACTTATGAAATCGACTTCGGATCTGCCATGTGCTTCCGTGCTTTTCAATCAAGAAAAATGTTATTATTTTGATAGGTTGTATTGGAGTTGTTGTTTGGGTGAATCTGCTGTGCGTTTTATATGAAGCAGTTGATTTTAAAGTGCAATATCAATTATCAGTTATGATTAATATTGGTGTCATGTCAATAATTTGATATCATTTGTGGTATATTGATCTATTAATAACTCGGTCTGTTATCATATAATCGTGCGTACACGTTTTGAATATTGGATATATTCATAACGCACACACTTATTATCGTTAAACCACAAATAATCAAAACTCTATTGTTGTTACCTCCGCATTGGTAAGTCTTTTTTTTGGTACTTAATAATCCTTTATGCTATGAGAAACCGTTACTTTTGGAGAGTAGGTATTGGTCACTCCTTACTCGTCACAAACAGCATCGCAGTAATACTGCGCTCGCTTATCAGCTCATATAATCATAATGGATCGAATGATATGTAAATAAGTCAACGATTTTTAATTGTTTATTCATCTAATTGCGTTGTTGCATAAACAGGTTTCTCATAGTGTCTGTTTGGTTTTTTTGGTTTAGAACTGAACGATAATCATCCAGCTGTATAGGCATTGTTATGTAAATTTTGTGTCTTCTCATTCTGATTGATTTCGTTTTTACATCCTCTGCAGACATCTCCGTCTATGTATGTAGATATGTGACGAAGAGTGGATTTGTTCATTTCCCAGTTTGTTGAATTCGAGTGAATGATTTATGTAAGAATTGAGCAAGAACAGATTTAAACCGGTTTTGATGTTTGATTATGTGTGCATAAATGACTGGCTGTTGCTATGTTATTGGTTGTTGGATTTCTTCTTTTGGTGCAGATGATGTTTGCCAGTAGCGTAATGTTGTGATTGCAATATTACTGACCAAATAAGTTGGTAATTTGGTATGGTGGACGATTCGGTTTCATCTGATTGCTTTTGTTTTCTTCTGTATGGTTTGTGCTGAGAAATACTCCCCATTCTTTCCGAAATGTCTGTTCGTCAACTATTCGTGTTTCAATAATAATATTAATATTGGTACTCTTATCATATAAATCCTATTATTATTACTAGAGCTACTGTTGATATTGTAATGATACCTACCACAAAAAGGCACTGCAATTCATTGAACTGCGATAATGATACTAACTAGGCATTGTGTCAAAGATTGCTGTTCCACGCAATTCCCAGTGGTGCATTGTCGTCCAGGTATTGACGATTCAGCTGCATATATATATCAGAGTATCATACAACAATCTAATGTAGCACTTTTATGTGATCATTTTATATCTAGTACTATTGATTTGTTGTGTTATGATTATTCATACAATTATTTAGTAATCGCGGTAGCAGCAGACAAAGCAACAACAAAGCAAATGGAATTGAGGGTTGGTGGACGCTTTCGGTTAGGACGCAAGATTGGTAGTGGATCATTTGGGGATATCTATTTGGGTGAGGCTATCCCTTCTTCTTATTCAGTTCTCTTATACTGAATGGTTAAGGCTTTTATTTATTCATGCATAGTTTACTATTCGTGTTCTGTATTTGGAACAAGCAACTTTCTGGTGTGATTGTTTAATTATTTTAAACAGGACTATGTTTGTGTGCAATTAAGAGGAAAGCTACAAAAGTTTAATTTGTTAGTAATATTTATTCGATCGTGTATTTTCAGGTCAGAATATTGTTACACAAGAAGAAGTTGCTATTAAATTGGAATGTGTTAAAACAAAACATCCACAATTGCATATTGAGTCAAGATTGTATAAATTGATGAGTGGTGGAGTGGGCATTCCTCAGGTTTGGCATTTCATGTATTAGTAGATTCATTCTATTATTGTTGGTTATTTGTTCATCATCAGTTTAATACGGTTATTGTTGTTTAGGTGAAATGGTGTGGTTATGAAGGTGAATATAACGTTATGGTGATGGAACTGCTAGGCCCATCATTAGAAGACCTCTTCAATTTTTGTTCAAGAAAATTCACACTGAAGACTGTATTATTATTGGCCGATCAAATGGTATTGTTATTCATTAATATCCATTGTTTTTCGTTAATTTCAAAATGTAGAAGTAGAAGTTATGTATATTTTATTGAATCATTTTGTATGTCGTTATTCCATATTCGATCTATATCCGCACTCAGGTGGATGTTGTGTGTTTTCAGTTATCACGTATAGAATATATTCATTCGAAGGATTTTATTCATCGCGATATCAAACCAGATAATTTTTTGATGGGACTCGGCAAGAAGGGGAATCTCGTTTATGTAAATGACTTTCATTTCATTATTTCTTTCATTTGTTATTCCTATTTTGTTCATTCCGTAATTGTTTTATCTGCTTATAAGTTTTTCATGAATGATGATTCAGTGTGAGTGTTTTATAAATTGATTAGTATTCGAAGAATTTCTGCTTGAACAATGAAGGATAATAATGATAAATATTGATGCTAATGGTAATTGTAGTAATGACAAATTGCAGATAATAGATTTTGGTCTTGCCAAAAAGTACCGTTGTAGTAGGACACATACGCATATACCGTATAGGGAAAATAAGAATTTAACAGGTACCGCAAGATATGCGTCAGTGAATACCCATCTTGGAATTGGTTTGTTTGTTGGTTATAAAATTTTCGTTGCTATTTTTGTTGCTATTTGATTACTATTTTGCTGTTTGATTAGGTAAATAGATTTATGTTGTAGGTAGTCAGGTTGATCCGTTGATTTATGTTCGTATCTTTAAGTTGTATTGGAAGATAATTCAGTTGCGCATTTTTTATTCGTAAATGGCTGATTCGATTCATAGGATTTTTTTGATGATGAAAGGGCATGAAATATTGTTTGTTTCATGGTTGTGTGGTGAATTGAAGAAAACTGATTTTGATTTTAGAAAATTGATTTTGATTTTAAACTTTTCGATTATAATTTTGTGAAAATTTGATTATTTCAGAACAAAGTAGAAGAGACGATATTGAGTCGTTGGGTTACGTACTGATGTACTTCAATCGTGGCACTTTACCGTGGCAAGGCTTGAAAGCGGCCACAAAACGACAAAAGTACGATAAAATATCTGAGAAAAAAATGGGCACACCGGTGGAAGAGCTGTGTGCTGGGCATCCTGGTTGGCATCTTATCTTTGTGTCGTGTCGTTAGCTATATAAAGAAAGCACTAGCAGTAATAGAAAGGAGAATGCTGGCAGTGATAGTGATGTATAATAATGATAATAGTAATAATAGTAATAATAGTTTGTTGTTTACCACCAGAAGCATTCGCAACATATCTGAAATACTGCAAATCGTTGGGCTTTGAAGAGCAACCAGATTATTCACATTTACGACAGTTGTTCCGGAATTTATTCCATCGGCAGGGCTTCACCTATGATTATGTTTTTGATTGGAACCTCTTGAAGTTAGTTGACTGTATCATTGTATATGTTTTTTTTTGTTTATTTGATATTCCTGTTTGTTGGGCTTTGAATACTGAATTCAGTTTATGAATGTTCAGTTTGGTTGGTTTCATTCAATACTGGTTGATAGTAATTGTGTATTTGGCGATTATCTAGTTTCCCTTCATATCGATTTTGAACTTATCGTTGGTTTATGATGACAATGAGAATGAGTAATTTGTGAAGTTTAAGGACTGCGAAAAGGGTTCAGCCCTCAGTACAATCGCAACAAATACCGCAGTCAAGAATGATGATCGAACAGTGAATAAAGACAGCGTATGTCTATGGAGCAATCATCATGTATGAATTGTTTATGATGCGATCCTTCTTGCTCTGAATTAATGCAAATTAGTTTCATTGTCGTTTTTCATTTCAGGGAAACTCAGTGATGATCAAAAATTTGAAGCTGAGGCGGAGCATGATGAAGGAATTTTTTTCAGTTCCATCTTTAAAATTTTGACTTCGGTGAAAGTTGGAAAATATGGCGGTTTTTTGCAGTGATAAGATGGGTGATATATGGTACTATGTGGTTGGTGCGTGCGTGTGTATGTGTTTTATTTTTGTGGATGTGTGCGTGGGTTGGCTTCGAATCGCCGTTGCTTCAATTCATCGATTGTCATTATCTTTGAACAACAGATCGGCGTTTTACACAAGTACACTTATGTAGGATGTATTCGAGGTGCTTGATGGATAAACAACGATGTTCACTCGTGGATGACAATTTATTTTTATTGTATAACGTCACGTCGGTCGTCGATGTTGGTGGCCACCAGCCAGTCAGCCCGTTAGTCAGTGAAATGTTATCTCATTTATTTTTTGTTAATTGAACCTGAATTTGTTCCTCGATTTGGTTGGTTGAGTTCGATCATCTTTTTATTGTTGTTTTTTTCATTCTGCGGAGGACGGAGGGTCAAACGTAATGAAAATGAGATCAATCAGTCAGTCATGAGATCAGTTGATTAATTCATTCAAAAAAGAAATATTTTTTGATTATACATATAATATGCTGACTGACAGCTAAGAACAAAAGACGCTCTTTGTTGGTGATCTCTTATCGTTTTATCGTTGCTGTCTTCATGAACTACCACACACATACACTAGATATAGGCATCGTGACGTTATAACAGGCGTGAGCTCGTACTTGTATTGGTATTGTTATTGAAATCGCGAAGTGATTTTGAGCTGAGCACGTGAAGTTGATGAAATTTGTCATTTGTCACTTTGCCGGCTGACACGCACGTACACAAATGGTTGCATTCCTGTCTATGGATGTTCACAGCAGTAGCAGAGGAGTGTTGTGGTGAGGTCGAAAACATCCAGTCCGCAGACATTTGATTGTGTTTTTTTCGTTTTTAAACGACTAGTAAGTGTCCACCGCGTGCCTCAGCCAAAAGTAATGAAAGAGGGATTAATTATTCTGATTATAATGCGCTGTTCTCTGTTTACTGTGAACATTTCATATTCGCGTTACGGGTGTAGGTGGTTATTCGAATCATTGTTTTGTTCTTGGTTTTTTTAATGTTCGTTTAAGTAACTACTCATCTTCTTCATTGTTGTGTTTTCATCATTTCATTGCTTCAATTACATGTACTTGATGGTAGAAGGAACGCTCTCTTTCCTCTCGCACAACCCTTTTTTTGCTCCAATCGATTCTCTGTCACGCCTCCTCGTTCTCAGATTTATTTTTTCTTTCACTATAAGTTTACTATTTTTGGTGATTGATGTATGAATGAATGTTTGATAATGTAAACCGCCGTTTATCTCATTTTATATTTGTCTATCATTTATTGTATTTATTCATAATGTAGTAACGTAATCAACGATTTGAGACAGATAGAATAACTTCCATTAGATACAGTTTTAATGTTCCATTCTTTTGTTCATTGGGAAACGTTGGAAAGTGATCACTTGAAATGGTTCTTTAGAGTTGAGTTAAGTTTTATCAGAAGGAAATGTATGACATGCAAATAGAGTAGATGATCACGTAGATATAGTCTGTATGCGGAAGCTTATATGACGACAAGTTGGTTGTGGTTTTAGGGGTGATCAGTGATGATGATTACGCTTCTGAAGGTGTGTATTTTTAGTCATGTATTTCTTTTTGTTTTTATACTTCTAATTCTTATTCCTCTTATGAGGTTGTTCGTTTCATGTTTGAACATATAATATAGTTTCAGTAAGTTTTTTTTGTTTTCCTTCCATTCGTTAGTCTTCTTTTGCTGTACGATTACTGACAGTTTTATTTCTTACTCGAAATTTTGGAAAACGGCAACGTTTCCTCTTTTCATTTTTTGGTTTCCTTTTTTCGAAGACTAATTTTCTCCTTTATTTATTCATTTCTTTTGCATTATTACATATTTCACGTTTCTGTGTTATGATGATTTGATTTTTCAATTACTGCCACCGCTGTGTTATTATCGTTGTTGTTTTTTGCTCCATTATTTTTATTTCTTTCTGTTACTAATTCTCGTTATGGTTTCTTTTTTTGTTGTTCTAATCATATTCGTTTTGTTTGTTGCGTGACTCGAGAGGTAGGAGAGATTTTGTGTGTGCTAAAGTTGTTTCTAGAGTTGATGAACAAATCTCGAAAATGGTTTGTATCGTTATCTTGTATGTATATATATCTGATGAACAAGCAACTATCAACGATCGCGTGTTGTTATAATTCAGCAGTATTTCAAAGAGAAACTTGGCATGATAGATACGCATTTTTGAGTCCACCGTAAAGTGCTGCTCAATTAGTTTGCTCAGTTCTAGAAAATCTTTAAATGGAAGACGGTTTATGATTGATTTGTTTTCGTTTAAGCAAGAGAATGAATGAGAGAAGTGAAATCTTTGCCGTGTTTGATGTGAATTACCAATAAAATGCTTTTCATGTTTATTCGTTTTGAAACAAACGATTTCACGGCTATTTAAATTCAAATTTTGTTTTCTGTTCTCATCTGATGGGTACTGTATTAATTTTTGTGGTTTCATATTGATGGTTAATTGTTGATTTCTTTGTCTTGTTTTATTTGATTTTCTCTTCATTGCGTTTTTGATTTGAATTTGATCACTTCTTGTTTCGATGTTTTCTTTTGAGAAAGCGTAGCGTACATTTACTGTGAATGTTATTATTACTCATTTATCTTTGTTATTATCAATATTACTCTATCTTTATATGTGCTATCATTATTGTTTTCTTGATTATTAATAGTATTCGTTTGGTTATTATTATGATTATAATTATTATGGAGGATGAAAAGTGTGGGTATGCATGATGCTTAGTTAATAAATTGAACGGATGCATATACTTTCTGAGAATGATTGTAGGCAAAGAACGGGATTAAAGTAGTGGTGGATATGGAATAGCTGGAGTTGAATGTTGTTTGTTATGATGAGCAATGCTGATCGATTGTACTGCTCTGCTGAATAAGATAAATGCGCTTCTTTTCGTCATTGCAATTTGTCGTTTCGCAAAGCGTGCTGAATAATGACCAGGTTCGATTCGGTCGGATCAATCTTTTCAATAGCAACAAATTAGCTAATAGCAAAGGTTCGTGGATGTTACAACGTGATTCTTTGAACTCAATTTCTTAGAAATGTTCAGATATGACTCAAATTTTCATCATGCTACACTGTGACGAACAACAGCGAGTTACAGTTAAAACGTTGAAGACAGTTAAAATTAATTGATTGATGATCGATTGTATGCTGTAAGGTTTGGTTATTAGTTTGACTGCGTTTCGCAACCGACGCTTCCATTTTGGGATGGTGGTAAAAAAAATACAAAAACATCAAATTTCGGGAAATGTAAGTTTGTTTCTGTCTGAAATAGCCTAAATTGAGTAACTTAGAAAAAATGTAGTTTCTTACTTTAGCCGCTTCTATGTACCCACTGTAAGGATTTAGGAAGGGGCTGATCGAACTCGTTCAAATTTCATACGGCTTATGTGGAATACATTCATTTAAAGTTTATTCTTGTTCGTGTAAGCCGATTAATGCAAGAAGTGAATAAGTCAAGCTCGTTCCTAGCGACAGTATATCTTTAAGCCCACTTCTTTTATTAAGAGACAACTTAAATATTAACGGTGACGGTAACGATATAACGGCTTACGTATAGTGTTGTCGTTTATCTATTAACTTGAATATAGATTTAAGTAGAAAGTGTTCTGCTTTTTAATGAAAAAAATATGTTTAAGAAGATGTTGTTTGAATGAGCTAATCTACTCAAGGATTTCGCTATAGTTGGTTACGAAGAAGCAAATAAGCCAGCCAATCGAGTCAGACAAGTACTGCTGCAATGATTAAGACAAGCAATGCTGAATTAATAGCAGGCATTCTCTCCCATCTTATTCACTTTCAGTTAACGGCTTACGAACACATACGCATACTTTTGTGGTCTTCTGGTTTGTAAGCAAATCCCCCACTTTATTATATGAAAAATTTATTGAAACGGAGCAGGCAATGAACAATATTAACAATTCAAAAAGTAGTAATACTAATAGTGCATCTACAAGAGTTATTGCATCAACGACAATGATGTCTCGATCGGCTGTCATTCGTGCACGTTATATACCGGATGTACGAGGTGTTAACCGTTATAAGCATTTTCATAGGTGAGTGACACTTCTGAATTCATTACGTTTTTGGTTTAGTAGGGCTGATCTCTGTCGTTTTATTTCATCAAATTTTCGTTCATTTGGTGCAATTCAGATAAATTGCTGAAACTTGATAGTATTAATAGAAGGAATCCGGACTTGTTAATCGGATACTGAGTGGTTGTTTTGTTGATCGTTCTGGGTGATCGGCAAAAAATTCATCTTTGTTACGATTATTTAATGGATTGGTATAATGATGTAAAGTATTGATGGAAACGGGCATTCGTTATTGCTTGCTCGTGGAATGTTTAATACGCTGATCGCTGTGAATCCATTAGAATGCATTAACTGAAATCGTTATTTATTAGTGATTCCGAAAGATCACTGGCTTGCTAATGTTGGTTGTTTCAAACACTTACTCTGAGCGATCATTGGATGCATATTCAGTCGATTAAGCGGAATGTATTTTCAGACTCATTTGAGTCCCTCTCACTAGAAATCATTGAGTAGCCAAACACCTCTGTGCTCGCCAAAATAATAATGAAAGTTAGGATTTCATAAAGATAGACGATTGCCAGCGCTTTTATCGTTAGCTGCATAACGAAGGGTGCCAATGAAGGAAGAATGTGGTACTGTTGATAACAGAAAGGCATAAACTCGTAATGAGTCCTAATTGAATAAATAGAAGAAGGAAAATGTTCATTAAGTTTAGTCTAAGTGTAAAGTTGCTGAGAAGAACCATTACAAGCATTTGTTGCATATGCATGAAAAAGCGATGCAATTATATCACTTGATAGCTACGGCAAAGTTGAAGAGAACGGAAACTGAAACTTATAATGATTCTGTTTTGCGTCGCATTATGCATTTGGACTTGACGAAAACGATGGAACATTGCTAATTTTATCATTGATTGATCAGCAAAAAACAACTTGAAATGAATCGCTCGATTGAGAGTCGCCAATGCAGTTTCAGTTGAAAAAATAAACTGATTTATATTTACAGATAATCCCGTAGTTAAGGTGTATAAATATGTAGATGAGTGTTGCATCTTTCATCGCTATCCAAGCTAATCATTAATTATTCAGCTCTCTTCACCGCCGACTAAATATGAATGAATACGAACTTTTATTGTAATATTGTACCTATTTAACAGTAACATCAATAACAACAAAACTGAATTCGTTTTTACAGTCCATTAATAATTGAGCCAGCTAAAAATGCGGGTGGAAATATCGTCAGAGAACGTTTCATTCATGAGCTGCCACATTTGCAAACAGGTGGTTCGAGGTTGTTCATTTTAAAAATGTATTTATGTTTTTATTGCTTTATTTCTTTATCGAATCATTCATCCATATACGCTTTCAATTACTCGTTTATCATTATTATCACTGTTGTTGTTAATGTAATTCTTTATATAACGAGAAGTAATTTTAAGTGATTACAGTCCATATGTATATATATATATATATGTTCAAGTTTTTCATGAACTCACCTGATGAATGAACCAGTTGCAGTAGTCATCCTGCTAGCGGTCGTTTCGATTCAGATCTAACAAAATCAAACGAGAATGGTGATTGTTACTTGAATGTTAAAGGTAGATACTGGTAAATTCAACATGATTCCTTCCATCTAGGAACTTATCACCGTTGTGTGCTTCCTACTCGTCACACTCGTTTATATTGTATACGGGCAAAGTCATCAGTTCGTAATACAATCGGCTTTTATCCTGAACAAAAGAATGTAGCGATTTGACTGTATATTTCGAAAAGTAATCAGTTGGGTAACTGGACCACTCCAGGTCCGGTTACCCAACTGATTAGTTTTCGAAACGTATTTGTTCGGGTAACGAGACGGAACTGAAAATAGCTTTTGATTCTGTTCTTCTTTTTCTTCCGAATCAGTGCATATCAGTCCGTCATTATCTATAGCCTCTTCATCAATTTCATTTATTTATTCTTTCCCTCTCAGCTTATCTTCTTCTTGAGGTGCAGTGCTCTTCAGAAGTCGGTCATAAAAAATGATATTGACGGTAATGATAATTGAAAAAATTTTCGATCTGAAACGTGATCAGCAATCATTATTATTATTGCTACTATTGTTGTTGTTTCACCACCTCGATTACATTATTTGTAAACGTCGGAGTCCCGAATACGAATTCGAAGATAGTGTGCATGTCTCTCACTGATAATATACATCTATATGTTTGATTTTCGAAGAAAGAATGCGGTTAAACTTTACAAACAAATGTTGATCGCAGGCCTCAGTGTTCTATCATCTTCCTCGAACATCTCATCATCGTATGCTGGACTTGATCACATTAATACAACCGCTCTATCAGTAGCAGCAGCAAAATCCTCTGACGAATCACTGAATCTCAGTAGCAGTTTACCGTTACTCGTCTCGACAACCACTAAACCGCTTTGGGCTAACAGCGGCAATAATAACTTGTTCTCATCACTGCACAGTCGCACATGTGCAGATAGTATCAGTGGTGGTGGTTTGAGGTCGAGTCTGTGTAAATCAGCACAAAATATTTGCACAGGTAACTTACGATATGACATTTTGTTCGTTTTTGCTGGAAGGGGTTAGATAACGTTATCTATCGTTCATGTGATGCTTGTAGAATGGTAAGTCTGATGCATTCGTACATATTCACTACAAACAGTAGTTTTTGAAATGAGACGCATTCACGAACTGAGCTCGTGAATCGATCATTGAAGTTCAGCGTTTCATCAGTCAAGCACTACAACCGAAAGGCGGTTTTCAGCAAAACTGTGAATGATAATTGGTATTGCACTTAACATATGCACTCCTTAACAAAATTCACTTCTCTTTTGTTTTTTTCTTGGCGAAATATTGAAATTTTACAGTGGGACGAACTTCTTGAGTAAATTTCTGAAGCGTGCAATTGAATTCGATGAATTTTTTGTTCATAATTTGTTTAGATGAAGAGCGTCATAAACGACCGAAAGTACTCCGTAAGAGTCGTTCGTGTCGTTCATGTCATACGAAGCTGTCTGATGCTGTCGATTCCTCTTTAAAACAACAGCAACAATCATCGATGAATAGTACAATGAATGCGAAAACAAGCATCTCGTTATCACCAGATAAAAGTGAATTGTACCAAATTTGTTATCAAGTTATTAAGAAAGAGCATTTCAAGTTTACGCGTCTTCCTTTTTTCATTCGTTTTTAATGCTTTATTGATTAGCCAGTGTTCATGGTTGTTTGACTGATTGGCGATCGGTGATGAGCGGTGCTGAACTTATAAGCTTTTGAAACAGTCATATACCATTTTTTGATCGTTTTGAATTAGTACGAATCGACTAAGGAATTTATCGTATTAGCAATCTCAGATCGAATAGAAACCTGTTTCAGAAAACAAGTTGATAAATTTTGTTTCGAACAAACAGACACTAATCTTAACTTTATGAGCAATATCCAACATACCAAGTCAGTCAAAAAGTTCTGAGAATCATACCCTTCCGGACGATCCAGTTTGATTCTTAGTGCATTTTCTTAATGTGTTTGCTATAGCTATCTGATATGTGATTTGTGATAGTTGACGCACCTGAGTGTCTCTCACTGAGTACTAGTACCAACCAGAGTACCAGGCCTACCAATGATAATAGGTGATTGATTCTTTCTAATTCGCACGCTCGAGTTATTCTCAGCATGTNGGGGGGGGGGGGGGGTGGAGGCTTCACTTGCAAAACGCTATGAATCGATATTGTCTTGAGTTATCCCCTTATCCTTGCCTTTCTGATCGATGCAAACAATCCGATCGCTCGCAATTGGAATCTGTGTGTTTTCCTCATTGACTGGATTCTTTGCATTGACGAGATTATGAGTGATCAATGGATGAATCTCTGTCGTATTTGAACTCAGCTATGACATCCCACTGAACAGAGTCTTCTCTCCGTCCATGTTGACTATCTGTCTCCATTCAACCTTCTCCCATATCGGAAAACTGAAGACCACTTGCCACTCAATTTCACTCTTTTTCGATGATACTCTAATTGGCCTCGGAGAACCTTAAATTAGGAAGGCTCCTTGAAGTCAGCAGTGTTTACTGAATCGATATTGTTTACTGAATAAAGTAATATATAGATATGTTGTCGAAGTTCAGAATCTCAAAACTTTTTGGCTGACGTGACATGAAAAGAATCATATCGAGTGGAAGTAACAGTAAAAATAATGCTTTTTAAGGGATATTTGCATCTAAATCGAACATTAGCAATGGAAATATAAGCAATAATACTTCATCATCAGATGATACGAAGAAAATGATGGCACACTTGTCGAAATCAGATGAAAAACGTTTATCACGTATAACTGCTAGTACTACATTTTCAAGGTTAGTCAACTGCAGTCAACGAATTGTATTTGAGTGCAATAACATTTGGAAGTGATATATGTGAAATGTTCAATTGTAGTGCTACCAGAATTGTACCACATCAACAACACCGACAAAAAAAACAGCAAGAGCAGAAGCAACTCGTACAAGTTGACGACCATCAGTCGATTCAAGCATCATTGCAACAGATAACAAAACAACATTCGAATGCTTCTAGAAATCAGAAAATTCGTTCACAAAGAATGGTGAATCGAAAAAACTTTGCAATTTTATTTGTGGATTGTGCATCTTCTGGTCGCGACAAAACGGAATCATCTGGCAATTCGAACACGAATCTTTCGTCAGCGATCACCGAAACTCAGGGCACTCAAACATCGGTTAGTAAAGTCGGTTGTTATATGCACACAGCTAATAGCTATTTCTTGAAAAATTCTTTAAAACTTTCCATTCTTTTGCGTATCTTCCTCCTGCTGCTGCTGTTATCGCTTATCCATTTATTTTCGTTCGAATTGATTTGTTGGGTTGATTGGTCGTTTGGTTGACTGTTTTTTTAAGTTGTCAGTAAATATTAATATGGGCGATGAAAATAGTCAGTGTCAAGGAGAGATTGAAGGAGGTTGTCGAAGAAGAGAAGGAGAAGCAACATCTTGGAGCAATAGAGCTAGATGAAGCAGTGAAGAAAGCATTAATTAGCGAACCGGTTAATGAATGTTCATTAGTGTGTAAAGCAACTCAAACGCAATTCGATGATCGTGTGTTATTGGATGATGATGAGCCTGAAGTGGATTCGGACAAGTTGGTCAGGAATCTAATTTTACTTTGAGTTAATGATTATCCATCAGACATTTGTTACTTCATTACTAACTTTGCATTGTATCTTTTCAACAAAATAAGAACGGATTAGATCAGTTTTTGGACATCGTATAAGTTTCTTCTCATAGTCAGTCAGACTTATATTGGCTATGAAGCCAAAATGTGACCAATTAAGGCCATGAAATAGGTAATATTAATGATCATCTGGCTGTATCATTCAAAGTAATAATCTGATAATTTTTGCAACGAAGCAGATCATTCATTGCAGATTGATCAACGAAAAGAACTGATGGATTTGATTGAATTGGCTCTCAACGAAACAATCGACAAGCGTTCAAGAATGATGACGAATAATTTTATTGCATCAAGTCTTCGGAAGCAGGTAAGTAAGTGAGCATTTTGTTTTCCCATCTGAAACGAAAATATCTTATGATTGTAGAAGTTTTCAGGCTGAAATATGGCGTGACGCAAAAGCGTTCATCACTGGAATACTCATACCACAAAGTATTCGTTATGCGAATACGAACCGACAGCATAACAACGAACGCGGCGAACGCACTTAGTGCTTCAGTTTGGATTGTTGATACTCTTAATGCTACTGCTACTACAGTAATAATTCAACTGATAATATCATCAATATCTTTGTTTTGTTGCTTAATATTATTATTGTCATATCGATGTTTTTTAATAACCAGATGACTAAATAATGACTTGTTAGTCGTTGATGTACGCATTAGCAGCATTAAGTCCTCATACGGAAGAAATCGTTTTAACTCAATTACGAGGAGTTGAAACTGCGTACACTATTTCTGAATGCTGGCCTGAAACCCTTAAAAATGAGGACGGTCGTGTCAACAGATGGAAATTTGATGTAAAAATGGTAGCAATGCCAAAATAAACACTATGTGGAATGTAACAGAGGAGAGAATTAGAAATGGAATTGGTAAAAGATTGATCGATCGATCGTTTCAAGGGTTTTAATGAACCGTGGCTGTGAGTAGGAAAATTTAATAGAAAATGTTCGAAAAAAGAAGAAGAGCAAGCTTCAACTTTCATTTCATTGGATGATGTGTGAATCGATACTGAGTGCAAACATCGTTCGAGGAGGAAAAAGCATTAATTCGTTATTATTGTTAGTGGTACGTAATCGTTCTGTTCGTATCTGATCTCATCATATTGTTTCACTCATCGTCAAAATTCCTTGTATTCAGTATGAAATCTTAGCTCTGAACAAAAACTGTTAACGAGCCAGAGAAGTTGTACTGTTTCAATTAGGGCGGAAGCGATTTGAAAAAAAAATTCCAAATTAAGCGTCATTCCGTTGCTTCTACTGATTCTTTAAGACAAAATCAGTGAAAGTGCAGCGAACATTACAGATTTGAGTTACAACATTAAAGACAAGTATTGCAAAAATGAATGAATACAAGAGCAATGTCAGTAAGATGTATTGGTTCAGAGTGGATTGACTGACTCATTATGTGATGGTATGGAGCGAATTGGGCGAGAAGTATATTCACTGATTTGAAAGAAGTGAAATGAATTAAAATGAAGAACATTCTTAATCAGAGGCCATTCCTTCCGGTTTGCGAAAAAATAGACTCGGAATAAGCTTCGTTCATTCAATCGCAGTCATTTGACGATTACTAAAATTTGAAAAAAGAAAGAAAATAAGTTACGTTTCAATTCACTCAAATAAATTCACTAGGTTTATATTATGATCTTACCCTAACTTTTTTCTATGTAACATCATATTGCATTGTAATTCTTCTGCTTAATGCATGCCACTTCCGATGTAACCAACTGACTGACGACTCATTGCTACATGCATTGTTGAGTGAGGAATGAATAGTGTTAAAACATATAACATATTAACTGATGCTGCCCATAATCTTTAATAGCCGATCTTGTTTTTTTACATTGAAGTGAACGAAGGAGATAATAGTTAAGAGCATTCTTGTCGATAAGTAAAGTTTGTTGTTGGATGAAAGAGACGAGCTGAAAGAAAGACTATAGGGGTCATTTGTGGTAGCAGATTAGTAGTATATGAGTCTGCAGAGAATTATATTATTAGAAATCATTGAGGAAGTTTCGATTGTAGCATTCACAATCTAGTGCTTACTCAGTTTTATCGTTTGTAAAGTTCATACCATATTTTTGAAGCCGAGAGCTGTTTCCTGCTCGGTGGGCAGCCGAGAGCTGTTTCCTGCTCGGTGGGCAATACTCTAGAGCGAGCAGTTATGGTGAGGCGCAAGAAAGGCTTTTTTGTGTGCTAATTAAGTCAGTCAGGTTTTAGGAGATGTTTCTGTGACAAAAAATTTTAATAGAAGGTGGGAGATTCATTAGAATGTTTTCTAAGAGGAAGAAATATAGTGAGGAAAAGAGTTGTTTTTTTTTTCATTTGTTAACAGCTGATTGGAAACTGAGATCAGGTGCAGTTGTTTATCATTATATTTAAACAACATTTGCTCAAAATGAGGAGTTATTTTGCGAAAGGTTTTCATATGTAATCATGTATTGTATTAGTTTCATTTTCATCGCTGATTACTGGTCGATGTGTAAATCACTGCCCTGTTTACTGCGATTGAGCCTAGCTTTGAACTTGACCTGATGAGCTTCTGAGCTTCGGAACGTCTAACATTTGAAACCGATTCAAGTTGAGGCTGACCTTAACGTTGCATTAAAAGTTCAAGCTGAATTGATTGCAACCTTACCCACATTCGTGTCTGTCAAGATATCTATGGATAGGTATTTTTCTCCATTTTCTTTTATACATTACGATGTTAAAATGTTTATTTCTATTCTTCCCAGCTGGCATCATTCTGAAGTAATAGAGTGAGAGCAAAAAAAGAACTAAGAACCAGTTAGTTCAACGAATTTGAACGAGATGAATGAATCATTGAGTAATCGAGCAAGCAAGCAAGTATAATATGTATTCATTTCCTCTCAAGCTTTCATTTATGCGTCTTACTCTTCTTTCGCAATCAATGAATCTAAATTATAGTCGTCAATCAGTTGAAGTATTTGTATAAAGTATTCCGATGATAGTGACAGTTGTTTATTTATTTAATCAGCAATTATAATAAAATGCCTTTCTGTTTCTAAATCACCACCAGTAATACCTTAAAATGTTCTTTGTTCATTGACATACATTCTTCTCTCTTTCCATACACAGTTAACGTCCGTCTGTCTTCATGATTGAAAATCTAATCTGGATCACTGATTAAGCAACCAGTAAGGTATCGTTAAGCAACAACACCGTTGATCGAAGTTATGTTGTTCTTGTGTTTGTTCTTGAGTGTGTGTGTGTGAGGGTGACAAGTGCGTGAAGGTTAGTTAAATGTGTACGGATATATAAAGTATGTAGCATTTTATGTGCCTGCAGCAATCAATTTATAGCACTGCTTGTCGATTAGGCTTTTGCTCGTACTCACTAGTAAGTAAAAGTAACAGGTCGGCTGGTTGTTCGAGTGATATATGTTATGCAAAAAGCTTACTTGTGCAGTGCATGGATGTGGATGAATGAATGCTTGTATGATGGATAACGGCTGAATGGATATTGCATTGGTTGTAGTGATAATAATAACGATAATAATTCAATATTGATTTAATATGAATTGTACGCACTGGATTAATGCGGAACAAAGTCGCTCGCCATCTGATTGATAATAAGTATTTGTAAACGTTACAACATGTATCAGCATGTTCAAGGTTTTGGAGACCATTTACTTGCAGGACTGAACAAATTTTGCTTGAATCAAGTCGATCTTTCTTCTCCAGTTTGGTGGTTAGTTGGGCTTACTATTCTTAAGCTGAATAGAATAACGTGTGCTGCTAGAATGCTACTGCCGCTGGCCGGCTTTGTTCATTAATTCTCGTCATTTTGAATCTACATTTATCATAGCTCTTTTTCAGTCAACCTCCTTATTGAGATCAATCAGACCATCGAACGCCTCGGTCCATCAAATACTACCCATCCGTTGTGCAAACATTCATCAATTCCTCATATAATATAGCTCGTTATGTAATCCCATGTATTGATATGTACATATTTAGGATGGAAGAAATGTACTGGTGCTTGTGTATTAGTGTTTATAAACATATCAACGAATGTACAATATTTATTTTTTGATTGGCTTGTGTGCATTTTCATTATTAAGACTGATGTGTGTTGTTGCGTTGAATAACGAATATGAGATCGCAATAGGTACAATCAGAATGACAACAGTTGATGACTAGTTGTTCCAGTTGAACCATTCAATATTCATTTCAACAATTAGTCAGCTGCTTACTATTTAACATTGTTTTTAAGCACATATAGGCTATCCGTTTCGTTCGTTTCTCTCAGTTTGTTTGTGTTTCGAAGCAAGCCAAGTTATGTGTTGAGATTGTGCAATTGATCGTGACAAACCAACAAACCAATGGAACCTGTTGATTTATGGGTAAAAGCTGGCTCGGATGGCGTTCGCTTAGGTGGTGATCCTTTATGTCAACAAATTTTTATGATTCTCATCGAGAAAAGTTTGCACCCGGAAAGTGGTCTGAAGTCAGTTGTAATTTTAATTTGCAAATATTGTCACTTGCTGTGATGTTGAATATTGAATTTTCATTTGACTTCTTCTTTAACACATGATCTCGCTCATGATCAGAATCGGTATGAAATAGTGAAATATTCATTGAAATATCTACACATCGCTTTTACTCATTTTCATGACGATCAGATAAAACTGTTTTCATTATCTATGTTGCTATTATTGGTATTCTTTTATATTTATTAATCTTTTAAGATTCAATGTAAAAACGATAAATGAAGCAAAGCCGCCACCCGAATTTCGACAAGTATGTTTGTTTGATTGTTTATTGAGTTTCGTTGTGATTATTTATGGAAGGCAAAGATAACGTGAAATAGTATGTGAATAGATTGTCGAAGAATCTAAATTCATGGAATGAACACGTTGAATTTTTGATTCATTTATCTTTGTAGGCGTACACGTACAACCATACTTATCAGGCCTTTCTGGAACTACACTACCGACTAGAAAGTTTACTTTTCCGTAAATATCATCTAGCAAGCATCTTTTAACTAGTCATCACTTCCACGTAGAAGTTTTTTTGATGAAATGTTGGAAGCGTATAAGTGTGCGACAAATGCAATTTCTAACGAAGGTCACTTGCTTGTAGAGAAAGTGCAAACTAGTGCTAAAAGAAATATGCTTCGAGTCCGCTTCACTATCTATCTTTTACTGAAGAAGTGTCATTTTACAGGCTGGTCTTCGTCATGCGCCAGCTCTTCAACATGGTGACGACTTTACGTATTCACATCCAGATGAAATAATCGAATACATTGATCGTACTTTCCCTCTACCATCGTTCAAAAGCGACAATCCGAACGCTCAACAAGCCACCGATGATTTATTCCGTGCATTTGCTTTCTTCATCAAAGAAGTCAGTACTGACTCTAAGGTAACTGAGTGTTCCTTTCATTCTGTTCTACTTTTTTTCTTTCTCCGTTTTCTAAATATTATCCAGTACGTATCCCATTTCACTTTATAGCTGTTATCATTATTTTTGTTATTTTTCTTGTTTATTTCAGATTGTTTATGTATCCATGTGATAATTTTGACTATAACAATAACTTTAATAATTTTACATATGATTATAATTGTTACTACCTATTTACCTTTTGGTTACGATATACAATGAAAGGAATGTGTGCGCAATATCTATGACGATGAATGCAATTCTTTAAGGCACTGGAAGCAGAATTGACACGTTTAGATAGTTATTTGGGTGAGACGGAAACGAACTTTTTAACCAGCGATGATTTGAAACATATCGATTTTTATGTATTACCGAGATTGCACACAATACGAATAGCTGCATCAGCACTGAAACAGTATGAAATACCACATCATTTACGTCATTTATGGGCCTATATGAAACGTGGATATCAAACTGATGCATTCAAAAAGAGTTGTCCATGTGATCAGGTAGGTGAATGTTGCATCAAAAAGTTCCTCACCTCTAGGAATTTTCTGATGAATATTTAGTGTTTTTGATCATCTAAACTGTACTTTTGTTCTTGATGCTCCTCAACTCATTGTATTTATGTACATATCTATGTGAGCAAAAGTGTTGTTCCTATTTGTTCCAAATTGCTGTGTATTTCTAGGAAATTATTTTATATTGGGCTGATCGACCAGATACACCAAACTTAACGTCACAAAAACGTTCACAGTTGTATCGACAAAAAACTACGTCTTCATTAGCGATTCCTGATGAAGTAGAGGATATCATGGCCACCGCAAGCAGCTCAAATGGCAAAGTCAGCCAAACATGATAACTATAGTATTTATTACTCATTATCGATATTTATCATTTTTATGACTTTTATTAATACTATTATGGTTCTCACTAGAAATAAACCGTTTTAACTCAGCCACGAGGGGTTACAACTACGTGCGGTAGCCCTGCGTGCCGGTCCCAAGCCCGGAAAAATGAGGAGGGTTGTGATAGTTATGACAGTCCAACGTAAAAATGGTGACAGTGCTAAAGCAAGGAGGAAGAAAGAGATTAATATAGTAAGTACTTTATTGAAATACTCAAATAATATCGAGTATATAACGAAAATTAGATGAAATATTTTTCTTTCCAGTCATCATATACGGTACATAGTTCATTGCATGTAAAGGTTTGCATATTTAAAAAGAATTGAATGATCGCTGAGCACATGCCGTTTAATAATTACCGGTAGTGCGTTCCTAATATTCGCAGTTTTTAAAACAGATATATTCATGGGCCAAAGAGTTAAACTTTCATTCGTAACATGAAACGAGTGTATGCAAAAGATAAAGTCTTTGTCGAGCTGTTGTTGCATTAATTTTATTGCGGCTTATCAGTTAGATCCTCATCACCATCCTTATATATTCTAAGTGCTTTTCTCAATTGATATCATCTTCATCGTGAATTGCTGTCATACCGATCATTTGCCTTGTATTATAAATCCATTCAACTAGCTGTTTTGCGTCCTCATTATGAAGTCAGTCAACCTTTTATACATGTACATTCATGTGTATAACTAATGTTTTGTTCAATACTTCTTTCTTTGCTTAATCTTTGAAACTCTTAAACATGTTCAACCATCCGCTTATGACTTTCATTATTTTAATCATTTTTTCTCAGCCCACGATGCCCGATTAGTTTAACATCTCTACAGATTGCTTCCATTTTCGTTTTAAAAAATTTTCTGTTATCCGCTTAGTTTTCGCAATGTAAATAAAAGTAAAACTTATCTGGACATATAAATACAATCCAAAATCAGTCATATTCATTGGCAACATCTCATGCAGTAGAACTTTAATACATTCAATGTCTGTTCTGTCATTACTATTTTGATCATTAAAACTGTTATTGCTATCGTTATCAAATAACTAGTCACTAGCACTGATAACTATAATTATTATTAATTCATCCACATCATACACACATCAATCTTGATAATCCTATCAATTCTATCCAATCCAATCTAGTCCACTGTTTTCAGTAGTTTTATTTCAGATACAATTCAGCAAGTTCGACTTGCACAGCCAAATTTGCTTTATGCAATGCGCTCTCGTCTATATTCATTCCACCTAGAATTATTCTTATCACTTCTCATCATCATATCGTCCAACGACCTGTCATTCGCATGTTTCCTCAGATCGTGTCCATATCAACGAAACGGTCGAAACATTCATCAGACTACCGTACAATGCTCTCAGTGCGGTTCGTCTATTTCTCTTGTGCTGTATCAGTTAGTCCACGTCAGATGCATTTTATGTTTCTTGATAATTATCTATTCGTCTGGTAGCAAGGAATATTAATATCAGCTATGACGCAAGAGGGAACACTCAAAAAGTTATGTAAAAACATACGCATACTCATATCGCAAAATGATTTGCTATGATTTGTTTATTTTATGTTATTATGTTTCTGTTATTTGTATTAGTTACATTTGAAGTTGTTTGCATACAGTTTATTTACGTTTGACGTTTATTTTTGGAATTTATTTGTGTTATATTTTTGAATGGGGAAGAAGTATTGAAGTAATCAGTGTCAATGATAGGCATTATTTTCGTTATTTTTAACAATAATGACAATGGTAGAATATAACATGAAATGCGTTAAGGTGGTAGATTCCATCAGAGTGGTATATGTGTAGCGAAAGGGATTTGTTGCTCGATTGGCCGGTGCTTTCTTGATTCACTGTGTATGCAGCAGCAGTCGGTTTGTCCGAAACGTTTTTGTAGCAATAGGCTGGGTAAGGAGGACAATAGCAGTATTGGGCAACTGAATCGTTGCGTGGCACCATTCATTTGCTGTTCAAAAGGTTTATTCAATCGTTATTTTTATCAGTTATTCAAATTCTCTTCTTCAAATAATAACAGTATTAATAGTAATAGTAATAATAATAATAATAATAATAACAATAATAATAACAACAACAGTGATAATAATAAAAATAATAATAATAACAGTAATAGTAATGACAATAATAATAATAATAATAATAATAAAGTCGGATGACACCCTCTTTCGTAATGTGCATAATGATAATTCCTGCAAATGACAATAATATCCCTCTTCAATAAAACGATATGTGTCTCATTCCGAAAGGCGGGGGTAAATTTGTGACCTTTCCTCGTAAGATTTGTCATTATCTTCGAAACTATCGCTGATAATAGTAATAAACCACCGGTCGCGATGAATTCATTGAAGTTTATTAGCACGACATCAACATGTTAGAATAAATTCAATTCTTTATTAACTTGTTGTTATTGGTTTTGCAGTTGGCTGTAGAGAGAACATGCAGTGTGTTAATATTTGAATAACTGTATATTAGTTTATTCCGGCTCAGTGTTAAATATAATGGAATGATTTATGATCACTCATCAATCTATCCATGTGTCCGTCAAAAGATCTGCGTTATCTGTGTTATTCGCTGAAGTTCTTCTGCGCTTTTAATCCAGAAATGATTTGCTCCTGTTGCTTCAACCCATCATTATCTTTTACTTTTAAAATCGTTCGTTGTACCATATTTATTAGTTATTTATTATTATCAATATTAATTGCATTCATTATTATCATATTATTTCAAAATTCCTTCTGTATTTAAATCATATTTCTTGCATGTTTTATACTGAACAGACAATGAAAGTATCTCGAAGTTGGTTGCTCACTGATGCAAGCAATAATAATGATAAAGGTAATAATAATAATGATAATGATAGCTGTTACCTGGATTGGCAAGCAGGCTATCAAACGTTTGTGACGTTGTTGGCCACAATGCTCGCGTTTCCGTGCACATTGTTTTAGCCTCAGTCTACGCCACCCCGCTGGCTAGGCAAGCAGGCCAACCGAACACAACCGAGTAATTAATTAAGTGACGTGAATACTTTGCATAATTAATCGTAGCCAAATATCAATCCAATAAGTAATCATAACTCTAATAAAACAAATATTCTGCCGATCGCTCACAGCGATTGACAAAACAACCACTCGATGTCCGAGTAACAATAATAATAGTAATTATAACACTCGATAATAATAGTAATTGTAACAATAATAAATAATAATGATACTAATAATAACAGTGATATATTTTATCATTTTTAGTGTTTCCGCATTGTTTATCTAGCGGAAAGTGAAATATCGCGCAGTGATTTTTTGAAACACTTTGAAGATAAAAGTGAAACTGGTAAACGCATTAGGCAGTGTTCAGATTCAATATGAATTATGCTTGTTTATCGTTAGTCCGCTGTTATTGTAATTCTTCAAATGTTTTGAGTGGGTTTAGTGAATGTATTACACCAAAATTTTTCTGATAAATTCCCTCCAGTATATTTGAAATCTATAGATTTTGTAAAACCGTATAGTTGAGCACTTAATGTTGTTGCTGACTGAAAGCGGTAGTTACCACTCAACTCTCTCATTTTTAGATAATTCATATCGATGACGCTTCAGAATCTGGATGTGTGTTGGAATTGTTGAGTTAATTAAAATTTCATAAAATAATATGTCAGTGGTTGCTGTGTAGGTATATATATGTATTACACATTGCAAAAAAATATCAACAGAATACTCATACATTGAAAATTGAAATTGTACGGATTCATGTGTAAACAAACTAATGTTGCTTGCATACACATGCACAAAGCAAAATACCACATGGAGGTGAATGAACTACAGGTGGTACCAATATGTGACATAGGTATGATATAGCATCTTCTGCTCTCAACTCTCAGACTAGAAAGGAATTCAATCGGTCGAATAACTGTAACAGGCTGTTTGATGACCGAAATCAAATGTCTACTATATGAGTTTACTATAAGGGCAATTTCTGCCACTAACGAAGTTAACTCCTCATTGGTGATCTTCCTTCTTCCAGCAACTATGTGCGTAGCATTTCCAGTTATGCCCAACATCCTTTCATAAATTCCATCATGCCAGGTAGCATGGAGTGTGTTGAATTTCCATTGAATACCTCGTTCGATAAATCCAGTTCGTTTCATCACCTTGTGATCCGGCTTGAAATTGGTTGCATTGTCTGTCTGAAGCATTTGTTGAGGCACGGTAAAACGAGCAGAAAATCTGCGGAAGCAGTGTACAAAGGCCTGCGCTGATAATTTCCAAGAGTATTGCTTTCGTCATAAGGCAAGTAAGCAATGCGACCCAGCGTTTACTTCATTGTCAGTAGCGGTTTGCACCCAAAGAAGACAGAAACAGTCCAAATCGGTAAACTAAGAAGGTTCCTCCAATATTGTGGTCGACCGGTGCTTTTGGTATCGGTAATCAAATTTGAGTGACATACCATCAGAAAATTGAGGATCTCCGAGCAATGGAAGGAGATTGACCTGTCAAGATATATATTTTTCCCCTAATTTTCTGAACGTATGTCACTCAAAACACCCGAAGCACCGGCACATCACAATATTCAGAGGATACTGTTTCCCAGGTTTGCCAATCTACACGTGGATATTTTGATATCGTTGAATCGAGAAGAATCTCATCTTCCCAAAAATATATATTGTGCCGAGGGATTATGCTTTGTTACTTAGATTTCCTTAATTTTCTGTTGGTATTCACTCAATATACCCAAAGCACGGGTCCATCACAATATTGGAGGGACCCTGCACACTGAAATTTAGCACAAAAAACAGGAGATGCGGACAACCCAGTACTGAGCCATGGATCTTGAAAAAGGGGCGCACACTGAGTTCACTGTTTCTTTTAAGTGCATACAATTTTAAAAAGTACCACAAATGGTTTATTTGATTACAGATTTTGTGTTCCAATAATACTTCAGTAAAACACAATTAAAAATACATTGTTGAAATTATAATTAATAACGTCACGCAACAAGTTCAAGGCAACATCAAAATACGAAAGAGCATCAATGACACATGATTATTTCAAACGCATTGATGGGTAGATGGATGATTTGCATGAAATCGTGTGGTGTACCGGTTGAAGCTTCTAACAACGAAAATTTTCTTGATTGAATAGCGCTGCTCAAAAATAATTGAAAGATGCAACAAAAGTAGCCGACGGATAGGTAATTATTCTAATTAGTCGGAAATTTGAGGACATCAGGGAAGGCGATAAAATATGGTCATACCTAATGAGTATATTGAGATGATTCGGTACTATCTCATCACTTTTCCGCTCAGTAAATTTGATGAACGAAACCGTTTGATGTTTGCGTTCTAAATGAACCCTAGGAGGCTGTTGTGCAGCGTTCGAATAACGTTTGATCAATGGACTTATGCTAGTACATAACATTGGTCACGGTTCCACTGAATGGAATGTGCACATAAACCGAGGATTCAAACACGTTCAAATATACGATATCACGAATAAGCAACCCAATAAAAATAATACAAGTAAATAACGAATGAATGAATAAATGACGTTCAACTGAAATCAAAAGTCTAACAATAGCGCATCAATACGAGTAGCAAACATCACCTGTATTCTCTATAGAAAATTGTAAAATCATCTTCAAAAGACGAAAAATACACAAAATTCGTCGACAGATTTCGAAACAAAATAAAACTCAATTTCAAAAGCAATATAATTTCTCTCTCTCACAAAATATCAGCGTATAAAGTTAACACATTACGCAAACCGTTACACAAATAGAGCATGGTTATAAGACTTAATAGCAATAGTTACGTTTCTTATTACCACTGGTACCATACTACCATCCTGACTACGGTCATTTCAATTTAATTCAGTATTGACAGATACTGTGGATACTGGATAACCAGCACATAGAAGGAAGGGAAGTAGTGGTTGAAAATGAGCATCAAAGGGACGAATGATTGTAACTTATGATCGGAGTAATGAGTGCCTCTATGTATGTATATCTTTACTGATTGATGAGTGAATTTGCAGAACAAGCAGAGGTGAACTGAACAATGAAAGTATAATAACGAATCAACGAATTAACTGGTAACAAGCAATTAACTACAATAAATAAACAATTTAAACAGAAAAAACGCATTATTAACACAGAAAAACAAACGAAATAATTCAAACTGTTTAAACATTCATATCTCATATCAAGTAAATTTAGTAGGTAATGTGAACGATCATTGAACAGATGCTAATGGGGAGCGAATTGGTCGATGGGAAGGAAGGCAGAAAGAAGAACGGGTGAATGACCAGACAAAACTATATGTTGAGCCAAAACGGCTGCTGAAAGGTGAAATGAATGAATATTCGTATAAAGTTGTTGTCAATTGCGAATGGAAGGGACTGCGCATCTTTCAACGCTTTAAGCGATAGCACTGTTAACGTTTCTGGAAAGCAGACATATTCACTTCATTAGACAATCGAATTATTTAGTAAATGGTTATTCGAACAATCGAACAACAACGATTCGACAAATAACAACAGACGGGCGAACAAACAAGCACAAAACAAGACGAAACGAACGAAAACACAGAATGACTGGATTTCGCTTTTGCTTTCTACGTGGCAACCATATAAAAAGTATTGACGAACTTCGGTGATGGGTTAGAATAAGACTTTCATCGTATCTCAGTCAGTTACTATCGCTGTCATCAGCAGCATCCACTGTGAGTGATTTCGCAATTCGGCCGATGCGACGAGTTGGAAATCCAATTGAACGCATCGCGTTGAGTGAACTTTTACGAGTTACTGCTGATAATTTGCATATTGCTGTCGTCTGAAATTTCATTCAGCAAAACTACGAATAGAACAAAAGCGAGCGCATAACCAATGGACTCAGCTCAAAACGCACTTGAATCAATCAGCGAAAGCAAACAAATTAATTAAGATTTGGGTGAAAGCGAATCACAGATTCATTTGCAGTGAAACCCGTTAAGTTGACTGTAGACACTTCTTTTCAGAACTTGTATTAACAGAAAATCTAACGAGAAGTTGTCCATGCTCAACCACATGCAATGATAATCAATCAATTGTGCTGTATGGCAGAGTGGCTGACTTCACTCGGTGAAAATCACCATTTATGTAGCTAGTTCTAGCTGAAACGATACACATGCAAACAGAAACCTCCTAACATATAGGTACCAAACGCTTTCATGTCAGCTGAAGAACGAAAGCGACAGTGGCAGAAATGAAAGTTTATTGGCAGCCGAAAAGTTGAACATAAACCGAAAATGGAACTTTGAAACGACCAAATATAAAACAAAAAGCATAAATTACACAAACATCTGTTAGCTAAAGCAACTGCATCCATCCAGTGCACTGCAAAGGTTTCCACAGCTGAAAACTATTGCCAAAGAAAAAATGCAAAAGAAAATATCACCCATCAACAACAATAACAATAACTCTGAAGAAAACCGATAATGATAATGATAGCAATAATAATAATAACACCGACACAATAGTAAAAACTGCAGTGCTGAAGATACAATCAGAGAAGAACATATAGAGCAACCAAGAACCAGCATGTATTAAAAGTAAGTACTCAAACGTACAGTTTTAGGTAACAGTGGTAGGATTATACAATTCATAACAATGAAGAGATTAAGATGTCAAATTAAAAAGGAACAAAGAGTCCCGCTTCGAAAATAAAACAAACGAATCCGAAACAAACCATGAAATGAAACGGAACAAAACAAAGATTTACAAAGAACACTATGATAACGATGAATGATTATGAAATAAACTGAACATGATTATCAATAATATCAATATACACGAATAAAGATGCAATAAATATTGCTCTTTTCCATTTTCCGACATTACATCTCAACTGATTAAGTGATGACGATTAGTACTAAATTCCATCAGTAATCAAAATGATGGCCACAATAATTCATTCAGGTACCATGCAAAGAGATTGTCAATTTCTCAACCTTAAATGTCCGTCAGATACATTACAAAAGGATCAGTATTCCGCTATGATTCAATTTCATCAGCATAACTTCTCAGACGTTTTCTGCTGCGTCTCTTCTCTTTGCTATATTGATTTCCGACGGAAATCTTTCTCATAATCCATTCACTTTCACGATTTCATGAGACGCGATATCAGTTTAATCTGCACAGATCTGTCAAGATCAGTGATCATGGAGAAGATGCTAACTGTAAACCAGCATTGGCTCGTGCACTTTCGAGAGCCTGCAGAAAATTCCTAACTTTTTCGAGTGTTGAATGAACCGTATCACGTCGATTCTCCAATACAAAACGACCCGCATTTTTCCATTGGCATTGCGTCTTCCAAACATTCTCATCTGACGCAAGAACACGAACACTAACACGTCCCTTCGATGTAGACACTGGAAGAAAGTTATTGTAATAATAAATGAAATTTTTATACAAGATTACGCACCAGTCAACAAAACGATAGTCATTCACTAGAGCGATAACAGTTGAAGGATGCTAGAATAGATCATAATCATTTCAGTAAGCGAACAAATAAAACAACTCACAATCACTATTCTTCTTTCGACTTAAAGAAACATCTTTGAGTGCATGCAGAACACCGTGATGCAACGATGCTGATGGAGCCGATTCTTTTGAACCTGCATCAGTCACCAACTCCTCCATCAATACATATTCACTCTCATCGATATCCAGTCTACGAGCTTTCATGAAAACCTGAGAAAATTCTTGCTGAGAATAGCACACGAAAATTTTTGAGTTTGAAAGAAGGATGAGGTTCAGACAACGAAAACTTCAACGCATCCGATTTGAGCAGTGATCGCGAAAATATGGCGGATTTCATTTCTCAGAAAATCGCAAATTTTCCAACTTTTCGGAAATCGTAACCTCGAGAGACTTTAGCGTCGACAAAATGACAGCAAGGGGAATATTGGTAGAACTGAGCCGGAGCAATGCTCATATGCAACTGTTCTTGTCTAGCTTATCTTTGCATCTGATGCTTTTTCATGGAAAATTGTCAAATGTTTGCAAAGCTTTCGTCCTGGGACTGGCTTGACGCCCGGATAAGGACAACTTCAACGGATTGCAAACGAAACAGATCAGAGTATCGCTCGTGAAATTATGGCGAATTTTATTAATGCACAAATCAGAACATTTCCAACTTCACAAAAATTGCGAGTCTGATTGTGAGTGTCTCTAATTTGGCCTGGAAAGCTGCATCAGGAATATGCTTGTGATAATGTAAAAACTGAAGCAGTATGAGACTCAGGTAATTATATTTTATTCGTGACTCTTCATATAATGGTTCATAGCAACGCTATTACATATACTATTAGTATGTAGTTACAAATGCAAAATCAAAACTGCTGCAGTTATGTTTAAAGAAAACGCGAGTACCTGTTTAATGACATCACTCGCTGTACTGTGTTTACTTGTTCGTAGAATTGCATATGGCTGATCATCACTCACGTTATGAACGCACATCAAGAACGTATCACCAGCTGACGAATGCGTACGGGACCTCATTGCTAAACATTCAACTAATTTACTTTTTCTCATAATGCTTTCAGCCAAAAACGATAGATAAAGCTGAACGCAAATATCACACACTTTATAAACTTTCAAGATACACATAAATGGGATATAAAAGAATAAACAGAATGACGAATTCATGCTGTTAAAATGCAATTTATAATAGTACGAACCAATATTCACGTTTAACGTACCTTTGAAGTGATCAACATCCAAGGAACGTCCGTGTAGAGTGGATGTTGACGAAGATTTAAGTGTTTGAGCAGTAACAACACCATCATTGAAACGTTTAGTAACATCTTGTGTTGTTGTTGGACTTAGATTTGCATTTAACTGATTTTGGGATATCGTCGTTGATGCGGCTGACTGTTGTTGAGCAACTAAACCACTACTGCTGCCAGCAACACCACTCTTTATTATTGACGTTATCCATGCACGACTACTCGGATCCTGACAACAGCGATTTATCAATACAACTTTTGAAAGAAGATCGCTTGTTGATCAGTTCACATATGAAACAATAAAAGCAGCTATTTCTCAATTATACTCTTGCATCGACTGATTACATAGTCGAATGGAAGCAGTGTATATGCTATTATACATGAAGTATGTGATACTAACTGTTCCCTTCTTTCGCATAACAAAACGTCGAATGGAACCATTCCAACAAGCAACAGCATCCATGATCGGTTCATTTAGCGGTAAAACTCGATGATTCAATAGATCACTAGTGCTGCTGCTCTCAGCACCACCATAAAAAGTTGATGCACTTGTGCTAGCTGCTTCGCTAATTGATGTGCTCCTCATTGAAGCACCAATATTCTCTTCGAATAACGCGTACTCGTCCACCGTATCCGCATTTTTGCCCGCATTCGATAGAGCCTATACGAACATTCAAATCAATCCAAAATCATGCACCTCTGTCCAGTGAAAAATGAACTGAACATGAATTGTACGTTCATGTGCCACTAATAAAGAAGATTGCCTTGCATATGTGAATAACAAATGAAATCCGATCCAATTCCAAGCACCTACCAATTGCATAACATTCCGAACTGTACTAGCCGATTCAGCATGCACAATCGTCGGTGTATCATCAGTGTAAAGACCCATTATCCTTAAAACGAATATTTGTCGCTTGAGCATTGGCACACATTTGATTTGGGCTGCCTGAAATACGGCGAAACTTCAGAACTAGAAGAGGAATGATGATATCAGTGTTACTCATTATTATAATGATGATAACGACATCACTGTTGTCATTGGGTTTTTGAGAAAGGAAATGCCCGCATATAATCAAGGAACGAATACAAAGAGGATTTGATCATGTGGAAAGTGTCTCTGAGCCGACTTTTTTTGGCTGATGAATGGAAAAGTTTGCATATATAGATCAACAAAAACAAATAAGATGGTTCAAAAGAAAATTAAGAGGCGGCATGCATTTGAGGTTAGCAAGATGGATAACTGTAATACATAATCAACGCATTCATCTGATGTATACGGTAATAATTAATATAATAATAATTTATCAATAATCAATCCGATTATCAGAAAGGATATTTTGTAGCATATGCGTGCAGAAAATTATTCAAACATTTCTGCAAGAATAATCATCTAATGAATCAACAATACAAATCAAAAACTATAACGAATGAAAATGTGACGACAACATGCATTGACCGGTTGAACTGAATTGAAATGAAACGCCATATCGAGAAAGGATAACCCGCATTGATCTGATTAAGTTAGTAGTAATTCTGGGGAAAAAGCAAGGAACCGTGGTAGTTCAACGCATGAACTTCAGTCCAACAATGCTCAAGAAATCAGTTGAACGTGCGAACGATTGAATGCATGAGAAATTTTAAAAATCGAAAAATTTAGGAGGCAAAAAATGCAATCAATGAAAGAATGACGAAAAACAAGATATTGACTGTACTCTCAAAATTTTTATGCAATAGAAGTCTGATTATCAGTAACTAAACTAAACAGAATAACTTCGCGTTTCTTTAGTGGTATCCGAAAGCTTTAGAAAGGTTCCCTGAAAAGAAGCGATCGTCTAAACAAAACTTCTTCATGTTCAACTTTCACTGACACAAAGGGGTGTAAAAAATGTCAGTTCAATAAGTTGTGATGCAGAATTTGATCAAGTTGAAAAATGGATCCGTGTGAGGCGAATGAAAAAAAACTGCTTACTGGATCAATTTTAAACGTTTGATAAGTGAGAGTTTGTTCGACGTTACACTGTGACATGCTGTCCTCGTCATGTAAATAAATATGTTCTTCATGCTCGAAACGCGAATGAATAAACAACATTGATTGATCAATTGACAAATTCGAATTCGTTCGTAACGGTAGATGGCGATAACCCGGACGTAGACAACGTACCGGAACGACTCGCTGTGCAACACATCTCAACCAAACCAAATCAATTTATCAGAACTGTCAAATCAAAACAGTACTGTCAAAAATTAGCAATAGACGTTTTTTTTTTCAAAATTTTTGGAAATAGTCATCGGAATAAGTCAGTATTTCGTAACACAAGAAATTGACCTCTAATGGTGCCCATTGAATCGAAATTTCTGAAGCTTGAATAAAAAGTTTCGAGATTCTGAAAATTGGAGAAAATAAGCGCAATAAAATGAGCAACCTTCCGTTAGCGTTATCACATACGGCCACACGAAGAAACGCTAATTCAACGAAATTGATTCGAAATGAACAAGTGTGATTCCATATTGGATTCACAGAATTTCGATTCACCACTTTTGTTTTCTCTTTTGCACAATCACTACCAACACCGAACATTTCAATCTCGACGAATGGCGATGCCGTATGCTGATTTGCACACACATGTTGACCAGAAATGATCTTCAAATTTGAATTTTCTATCAATATATCTCATCACGTGTTATTCATCATTCCTCAACGTACTCACTTACAATCCTCCACCATGAAAGCGATCCTCTAGACCTCTTGTAGTGATAATGCAGTACCATGAACAGACTCGATCAATCTATTCTGTATCTACGCACACTTCACATAACATAAAAGCAGTTTTTTCCGATAGATGCATGTTAAATATGTCCATCTACTCAATAAATGCATAAGACATAACATAATAATCAAAAGCAATCTGTATGGTGACCATCATCAATAACCACCACAAAACATCAATCGAGTAAATGAAACGACTTACACTCAACGTAAGAATAAGTGCTGAACATGAGCTCAGTTCTTTCGAGAGTGGATTGAAACGTCGGTACAATGGGTGTGTATCATCCCACAGTACACGAGGTTTCAATGTATAGCCACAGTTACCCGTCTGCTCGAACATTGCTGCATTGATAGCCATCGCAATATCAGCCGTTTGAAAGTTCAATGCTATCATTTGTAATCCAAATGCCCAGTATTGAATCGGATTGAAATTCGACGAATCGATACGCATTGCACCCGGATAGGTACGTACCACATGATCACGTGAATAAATTATACATTTGAGTGCGTGTTTCCTGATCAATACAAATTCGTACATAAACTTGATGACTACCAAGCAATCACCGAGAAAAAACAAATGAATCCATTGAAAAGTTCTTCATGAAATTACACATTTAACCATTCAGCAGAAATGTGTGTCAATGAATGCATCAATAATAATGAATTACTACATAGAATCAAAATATTAAAATCAGAATAAGAATTCTACAAAATGAAGAATGAATAAATGAAGGACAAACACACCGACATAATTTTCTGGCGGCAGTTTCATTTAGGGACGTAACTTGATAGCACGATGCATTTGTATTGTCTCTTAACGGTGAGTTAATAGATGAGCATGTTGATTGCATAGGAAAATCCTCGCTACTCTTACTCATCAGTGTAGATGGAGCAGCAGAAGGCGAGTTGGGAATAGCATCTTGTTGATGTAGTTGAGCACTACTACGTTGGCGTCTTGGCGTTGTAGTTGTTACGATGAGATTTGCAGTATTAGTGGTTGTGGCTCGAAATTTTGTTGATGCACCTGATCCGCTTGCGAATGTGGTGGGTAAGTTGATGCTGCTAGGCGTTGTTGCCATACGCCCGCTGAAGCTATCCTCCGCTCCTGCTGATACTTGGTGAGAACGACCTCGCAGTCCACCGTGGCTCTCGTTTGGTGCAGGAAATCCCTTAATTTCACAGAACAGATCGATAAAGCACATGAAGTATCACCAATTATGATAAAATAATTATATGACTCGCAAAAACACTACAGACATATTACATGATGTCGTTACATAGATATTAAACAGCCTGTAGCTCAATGGGCCACTCAACTGATTGTAATTGCCGACCCCATACATCCCAGCAAAATGAACCACAACGTCAATTAACATCACCATGATTCATCTCTTATTTATCGCCATCATTATGACTTTCTCATTAAAGAATATTCTCTATCCCTCACGTTTTTCTCACTGCATTGAGTGCGACAAATAGAGAGCAGACGAATAAGTAAGCAGGATAAAAACTTAGTTTTAAGTTTATATTAGACCATAAGATATGAATTATAATATAGCATTAAAAATATAATCATTTAAAGTTGAATCGATTCAAATTATACCAAAGAGCTTAAATGACAGAATCGACTTGCGGATTTTGAATGAACCAGAAATGAAGAAAATGTGGGAGTGGAATGAACCTTGAATTTAACGGCTTGAACATAGATGACTAAATCGGACAGTTCCGGTGCTAACGTGGGACCGGCTGCGGCTTTACGCATCGATAACGGCCTTCCGGATACACCAGAATGCGGCGAGTACGCAATGTTATCGTCGTCCATTTTCGAGTCAAACATTGCTCCAGTCGACTTCAATGAATTATAATTCCGAATGAATTATTAAAAAAAAAGTCAACTGTTGGTTAACAAAGAAATTTTCAAGTGATGTAAAAAATTAAAAGTTTGTAATGATGAAATTTCAAGTATTACGGTTGTTAACTGCCGTGTTTTACTGGTTTTCCGTTCATCACTATTCTCACTGTTTAATGAATCTTGTTTATTACTGTCCTGTAATTTTCCAGCTCTCTTGATCACTCGAGGACTTTCTGTATCTGTTCGTTCTACAATAAAAATAATCAGTAATCAACTGAATAATGAACTCGTTTATTACACGTCTAATGTAAATGAATCATAACGATTAATAATAATAAATTAATAATAATAATTAATAAATTAATTAATAATACGATGAATAATAATGTTACCAACAAGAACAATATTTTAAAAAAAGATAATGATAAGTCTCACGTACCATCCGGATCTTCATCCTCTGGCTCCTCTTCATCCAAAAACTCATCTAAATCGTCGTCATCCACCTCATCAACGGTGCTTGAAATAAGAAAAAAAGCAAGTAGAATGAGTGTGCGAAGAACGAGTATGTTTATATACTACGGAGTAGAATACTCAACAAACTTCATCACAGAACTTGATTCAACTGTTGAGAAATTACCAGTAACTTTCTGATTTTAGACAAGCATGGTTCAAATGAATGGATCAATCAATACCTTGATTCATAAGAGATTTTGCTTTGATCACGATGCAAATCGCTTTGTATAGCAGCACCACCTCGCATCAAACCAACAGCAGAACTATTCGGTTGACCTGTAGCACTAACAACAGCAGTGCCACGATTAGCGACACTGTTAGAGATGGTGACGTTGACGGTCTCCTGATGTAAACCCGCACTTGGCTCAGAAATCATCTTTTTGTTTTTGATCAAAATTTTGTTTCGCAATTGCCATGGTGACGGCAGTCGGGGGTTATCGCTGAAGTCCGCTTCGAACAAAAAATTTGTCACCAGCTTTTCACCGAAATGATTCTGAAATGTTGATTCATCATTCATATTATTACTTTAGCGAATAGTACCTTAAACATTTGTGCCATTCTGGTTTGTTGCTGAAGTGAGCAATGATTTTCGATCGAGAGAATCACCGGTAGATTACTCGTGATGAAGGCGCTTTTTTTGATCACCTCGACGACTTGCCGAAAACTGATCTTTGACGTAAACGTATGTCCATGAAAGATTTGTGGTGAGCCATCATCACCATCCCAGCAATCCAACTCCACACAACGACAACCCGTTAATAATACCTCAATAAATAAACAACCTCTAACAAAATTTTATGTTCGATCCTAATCGTCGAACGCTTTTAGCGTTGTTATTTCTCGATTACAGTTACTGTTTATGTATATGTATAGTACTATTACTGTTTATGTAAATGTGTACATTTATGCATATGTACATGCAGAATGAAGATCAATAAGGTAATAATAAGAATTATTATAATTTGCGATATTATTTTGATGGACAATACAATAATCAGAAGAAAGAAATAAATGCAGCAGTGACCTGTCGATACATTTCAGCCGAAGATTCACCCTTGAGTTGATGACCCGTTAGGTAAGTGTTATGACTTGAGCATATATAATAATAGCTAAGTGGATAATGCAGCGTTTCGATATCTGGTTTAATTTGTTCAGGAACGAATGCGAAATTTACGGGATCGTTCAAATAACGTGTGAAACCTTCGAACGACATCTGGTGCTTGCTCCGTAAAATCGGATCTGGTTCATGGTCCTTCAATACGAAGTGAGGTGACTGTCAAATCAACCACAAACAAACAAAACTTGCTTGAAAGCTTTCGAACATTCATTACGGATAGGCGACCCATGACCCACTGGGCCATCAAATGAACGTTATATGAAGAGGTCGTCAAAATCAGAATGCCTTAACTCTAGTTCATTATTGCTATCCTGACTCTCACAATGAAATGTTTGCTTTTTCTTTTATTTCTTCAATAATTCATTCAGTGAGACGGACGGTTACAGTCTACGAATACATAAGATGATTTCAGCAATGTACAGACAGATGATCTCTCTTTATTCTTCCTCTCTCGTTGAGAGGTTATACTTGTTCGAACAGACACACCCAATCACCTGAATCAATCGTATTGCATAAGGTTCATCCACAGATTCCATTTGATGCGTTGCAATGAATTGCTTTAACATTGCCGGAGTTAGAAATGAGCTACGCGATGTATCCATTACACCAGTACTGCAACAAATACAAAATCTTTTATTTATTCGAAAGTGCCACTTCAAAATACTTCAGTCAATTCGGCCCAAGATACAATCGCCTGGAATGGAAGACGGGTAGAGGGGACCAAAAGTGAATGATAATGGACTAATTGATCCGATTCCAAGCAGTGGAGGCGGAGGGGAGGGGGAAGTGCAAACAGATTGTGAAAGGAAGAGATTAATAATGATGCTAAATAGATGGAAGGATTGAAGGGGGTACGGGGTTAGGGGTGGGAGTGGCAGTGGGGGGGGAGAGAGAAGAGCTGATAGAAACGCAAGCGCAATATCTTGAACCTTCTTCACTCACCTATTAACACTAGCAATTGCCAATGCGTTATAGATCTTCCACTGTTTCTCGTTGATATGATAAATTGGTGATGTGCTGTTGTTACGTGTAAGAATATCTGCAGTGAAACTGCTTTCATTAGAACGAACCCAAAAGAAATTCTTTTTGGAGTGAAAAAGCAGTAAATAAAATTAATCAAACGCATGAAGGAAGGAATATCAGCCAATTTTCGAGAGCAGGTAAAGTTTTCATCATTATTTAAGTCTAAATTCCAAAATGAGATAAGCCTCCTTGAGGAATTTCCTCACAAAGAAAAAACAGTCGGAAATTCCTTTAAAATGTAGGAAAATCAATGAGAAATCCCTTTAAAACTGCGAACCGTTTGGTAGGAAATTAATGGAAGGGTCAGATTCAAGCGTATCATGAAGTCGTTCTCGTTCTGCAGCAGCAACTTGTTGTTGCTGTGAATGTGTAGTGGAACAAGCACTAGAATGCTGTTGCTGCTGCTTACTATCACGCTTTATGAGTGCATTCGCATGATGAACACAACCTCCAAAAGTACCATTATTTGAATCCAAACTTCTACCACCACCACCCATCGCCAAGCACTCATTGAAAACATCTCTGAAACGCATCAGTGAATTAAGAATCGATCCAGTATTTCGTGACTACAACTTATTAATTCAAATGATGATAATATTTTGCTGCCGTAGATAAATATTTGTATCAGTCATTCTTCGCACCCTCATACGAGATAAATTTTACATGAAACTTCCAGAGAGTAAACGTTTCGTTCCGTTTTGAAATTTTTCGATTGATTTTCTTTCGTTTTGCACCACCTTCACGACTGATCGAACGAATAAACAAGCAAACAATCAATTAAGCAAACAAACGAAAAACAAAACCTATTTACTTGAGATCTTTCCTCATTCGTAAACTGAAAAGCCTATACAGTTCGATAAATTCAATCAACGAGACCGGCTTCTCTTGAAATTCTCGTCCGGATGTCCCGTTTACGGTTGTGACCGACGTCGCCGATCCAGTTGCCTGCGCTTGCGTAATACCACTACTCATCGAGTCTGACTTGGACGTTCCGTTACCTCTTGATCTGTAGTATTCATGGGACTACATAGCATTATCAACATCATTAGCTCAACTGATTCGATTCAGTCAAATTTAACGTCTACGACAACTGAAAAAAAAGACGATTTATCCATTGGAGAATCCCCTGCTTCTATTTTCAACAAGCCTGGAACGCAATCGAGCGGACAGACCACCAAAAAGCAGCTGGTCATCGTTCCGAGACGTCGACGTCGTTCTCTTATCCATATTTTTATGACTTTAAAAAAGCCTATGAGCAGCATATACAGTCATTGCACATATGAGTATGCGTATATGAATTTTTAATGAATGAACGAATGGTGGATTGTAAATGATTAGGCAGCCGCCTAGCATCGTATATTTTATGCATTATCTGCTGAAGAGGAACCAATCTCAAATGCACGTATGTCAGATTTCGCAAGCTCTTCTCTTACTTCATCCTTCTTCTGCAACTTAAACGGTTGCTTCACAGCTGGCATTTAAACTGCCGTCGATTAATTGCTTTCACGACGCATTATCGTCACTTTTTAAATCAACCAAAGAAGTTTTCTTTCATTCATTGTTACTTTTCTTTACACTTCACACAAAAATGGAGCAATGAAAACGAGAAGAAAATGAAACGACCGCTGTAAAAGAATACATTTCAAAAAGAATAAATAACGCGAAATCATCAACAGGTAGTCGCCTAGCATCGTCTATAACTTGAAACGTAGACAAATAATACTGTAATAAATTTTTATCGCTGTTAATTTCGCGCAAACAACTTCCACTGTTTGTTGCTTCTTCCAAAAATTGATCTGACGGATAAGTGGAAAGACTTTCAATCGTCTTTGTCTTTATATGAGGGCGAAGCGCAAGGATCAAATCACGAACAGAGCAAATTGTAATTTATGCACACCTCCAGGATTTTATGGAGCGCCCTGCTAGTGAGTGGCCACCATAAGAACTTGAAGTTGATGTTCTGGGACGTGTGCCACCATCAAGGACAGGTGACGTAGATGAATCCAGCAAATCTGCCCGGTCGGTATCACCGCTGTCGCGATTACGTCCAAATGGTCGCAAAAAATAAGACGGACTATTCGATGCACTTGGCGGGCCACTCCGACTTGACATATGACTTTTTACCGATGGTGCACGATACTGAAACAACAGTGCAATTCAACACTCGTTGTACATTTTTCGAAGTGGATCAAACAGAATACGCAACTAGAATATTGTTGTGTAGCTGCCAAACCTCTGATTATCAGTTACAACTTTTGATTTCGTAGAACACTTCATATTGATGATGATCTATTTAACGGTTTCAGGCTCTTTACTTCTTTTACATAACCTTATGAAAAAATACCCATTACAACTGAGGGTTATTTAAGCATTGTTATATTAACCATTGGCAACAAAAAGTGTTCCCACTTTCGGTTTTTCATTCGATAGAGAACCTTGCTGGACTAGTAATCTCACGTGGATTGAGTCAACTGATAAATCAGAACAAACTGCAATGAATCGATGAAAGAATCTCAATCGCACAGGTACTTTTGGGCTGCTAATGGGAGGTGATGAAGGCTGTGGACTCTGTGATCGACAGCCGTCACGACTCGCGCCACGCATACGACGCGTCATAGCGATCGTCATTTGCTTCAGACGATTTCGAGCACCGCCACTTTCATTAGATGTCGCTAAATCGGCTTGACTTCGAGAGCTCGTTGCCACATTCTGATTCAATCCTTCAAAAAAGGCATACCAAAAGCGAGCACAGAAAGAGGTGAACTACGACAGCAACTCGGCAATTTGGTTTAAAGCGGCCGACTCTTGAAGTGAGCTACTAGTGATCAATTAATGATGCAGTTATCAGTTAGCAAATCGAGCTGAAAAACAAACGAACCAAGACCACGCCATCGTTCAACTCGTCCACCAAAGGCCTGTAATGCATCGAAAGGTCGAGGTCCATCAACATGACGATTATTAATTGCAGCTACCGTAGAGCCTGCAACTCGCGTTAGAGCAGCTGCTTTAGGCGTTGACAGATTAGAACTTGTTGCTGAAGTTGTTGTCGCTGCTGCTGATTGTTGTTCACTGATTGTTGAACATTCACTGTATAATTGCAAGTATAACTTTTTCAACCATAGAACACGTCGATCCGCATTCTTTTGTTGCTCTTGCAAATGCCTTACCACCTGAAATCGTTCGTCTCTTCTCTGTTGAAATTCAACGAAAATATGCTACCGAACAGTTGTGTATTCATATTCATTATCTTTGTGGATTAAATTCAGATGAACATCCAGCAGCAAACTTACATTCTTTAGACCAATAATCCAATAATGAGCAATTTGTTGAGGTGCAAGAAAATAAATGAATTCGTTATCTGACAGAACACATCCGAAACTAATCGTCCAACAGAACACAGGCACGGACATCTCCTCATTACTATGCCGACGATAGATCGCCTAAAAGACGGTTGCTGGTTCCATTATGTTTCTGTTAACCAAAAGAGTTAAGAGATTGAGCAGGTAACATATACTTATATCATACATAGTGATGTTTCTATAACACGTTTGTGGAAACTGTTCTATTCTGTTCGATTCCGCTCCAAAATGGCTCTGTTCTATTCTATCCTGTGCGTTTCTCGTTTGAGAACTGTTCTGTTCTATTCTACCCTCCTAAACTGTGCTATACTGTTCTAAACTGTTCTATTCTGTTCCGTCAGTCATAAAAATGACACGATAAAACTTGTGATAATTAGGGTTAGAAACGTGGTTTTTTGGCGTTTTCAGTGCAAAATGGACATTGGGAGAAGATTGTCCACGCAGGCAGTTGACAGCTTTTGACCGTGATGATCGGAGGAAAGCAGAGGGTTTCGGGCTCTGGTAATCACCATCATTAATGAACAGAGGATTCTCGTTTCGCCCCAACAGTCCAGTCAGAAATGGTTTCTCATACTAATGAGTTCGGATTGAACTGATTCGTTCAATCGGACTCGAATGGTCTAAGCATAAACTTTTATTGGAGGCGTAAAATGTGAACAATTTTTGTGATGGATTGCTCCTAGAGTTTAGAGTACGACCAACATTTGAAAGCTGGGTGCTCATTCGGAAAACTGTTCTATTCTGTTATTTTGGGCTCAAAAACGGCTCTATTCTATTCCAAGCTGTACCTTCCTGATTTGCGAACTGCTCTGTTTTATTTCATGGAACAGAACAGGAATAGAACACTTTAACTGGAATAGAAACATCACTGATCATATAATCTTTTTATGCATGACCATCGTCAGTAATAATAGAAATTATGTCACTATAATCTACCTCAATGTCGAGATCGTAAGAGTCGACCGTTTCAACAGATTTGACGTATGAAAGTCGGAGAAAGCCTTCATCAAGACCCGTTGATGCCGAACCGACGGGTCTTGGCGATGAGGGTGACGAGGAGGATGGCGCTACGCGTACACTATCAGACGTTTGCATGGCGGATAAATTTACAACTGATGATTTGTTCGCTACGGATGTATCCTAAATTTTGATGAGAATATTAATTCAGAATGGCAATTGAAAAGACAAGTGGCAAGGTAATTCAACGAGTAATCGCAACATACCTTCTCTTTGCCCTCACGACTACCGCCAATATAGGTGACCTTATGCCATGAGATCAAACCACAACTAGCATCTAATTTAAGCATACACAAAACACTACGACCTGAATCAGGATCATAGTGAATCACTGTGGTACCATGATGTAATCGCTGAATTATATCCAAATCAAACGCTGATGTATTTAGTGGGACTAGCGTCACACCGTGTGCGGCTCCTTTAATTGATTGCACTGGCTCGTAACCCTTGAAATGCAGCAATGCAGTTAACGAGATGTAATTGCAAACAAGTCAACTTCTTCAACAATGTACCTTAACAACTTTTATGTCTGCAATCGTAGCTGTGGCAACTGCACTGCCACTTGATTGCGCTGAGGTTGACGCTCCGGCAGTTGCGGTCCCAGCAATAATCGCTGTTGGTGTTGCTGTTGTTGTCATTGTTGATATACTCATATTTTGTTCTTCAACATATTTTAAGACAGTTCGATTATGACGATGAAATAACTCTAAATTATCCAACACGACCGCCACCAGACTGATCTTATCCGCATTCAAAAGGCCACCCACACCGATTCGTGATGAGAAATGATCCTCTCCATTCGCATCGCCCATAAACTGCAATCAAATCAGCACTTAGAACTGCTACTGCTATTAAGAACAGATAATACCTCGAGTTTATCCTTATCATCTTCGTGACCAATCACAACCACATTTGGCATGTCGTTAACGATCGCGTAGAGATCGCGAAGAAAAACGCCAAAAAATGGTATTAAACGGCACTGTGGCATTCTCAGTGCTCGTTGAACTGCCTCTAAATATGGCGTCGACGGTGCTGCCTGGTTGCTCGGTAACAGCATTTCGCACAGCTCAATAAAATTAGCTACAGTAATTACACAAGATTGTAGTAAAAATTATAATTATAATATGATCAGTTATTCGCATTGTTATGATTAGTATTATCACTGATCAGGCTAGAATGAGTTCAAATAGTTATAATAGCACTAAGACCACTTTTTACCTGCTCGTATTTTTGTTTTTCGTCATGCCTCAACGACAACCAAAACGGTCGCAATTTCTCACTCTTCAAACCCATCAAAATTTCGACTGCTGCATTGAAGTTACCTTCAAATCAACAATCAATTCTTAATCACCGATGCTCTATCTCTCAACAAATAACTTCTTTATCAACCACTCAATTAGCTGATTAACTAATCAAACAATCATCAATAAATCAGTCGGCTATCATTGATGCTATCTACCCAACAACCAGTCATCAGCCACACAACGCATTCTTCCCTCAAGAGCCCAATTTTCTTCCAAATGCGTCTACTTTTAATAGGTCTGCTGTCTCAGTTGTCTGCTTTATCAACAACGCTTCATGCTTCTTTCCTTATACCACGTTTCACTTTATCGCACTTCATAAAAGCACACCGCATGTTCTGATCAAATCTTCTGATAAGTCTCATAAAACTCGTCTTTCCTCTTGATATACAAAACGTTTATTATTATTTTTTGAATGTAGGCAGTAGATGGTTGCTGATATAACCGAACGCTATGCACGCCTCCAGAGAGTATTTTTGCGATAATACAGCCGAAGGGATCTGATGTAGTGTAACAATAAGTTCAAGTACTTTGTGAGAGAATTAAATTCAAGCTTAGGTCGTACTACCCATAAAGACAACTGTGCTTTTAGGATGAATTCCTTATTATCTTCAAGTTAAGTACCAGCTGACGAGACACTAAATTTTAGTCAACGTCTGCTCACTCATTTTAAAGGCATTCACAGCGCCAAGCTCTTTCATCCTCATTTAAGCGAGATCATTCATCATGAAGCACAACAAGAAAAATAAACAAACAAATCAACAAAACCGCACCAATATCTCAATGTTGTTGCTCATACTTAAAATCAAAGAGAGAGGCAAGTAGTGCTAAATAGATGTTTCATAATCTACATGCTTCATTTGACAATACAAATGAAATACGAAATAGACCTCACCAATATTGCAACAAGCATCAATCATGCGAATAATGCACGTTAACGCTGTTTTACGATCCTCATGTGTTGGCATACTCACAATTACGTGTGTTATCCATGAACTTACCTAAACTGCACAGTATAATTGAACGAATAATCAAACAATAATCAGTCGTTCATAATTCCGATGAATGGATAGTGGGAGTGTGATATGAACCTCGGAAAGACGCTTAACAAGATTGCGGACAGGACTCGGATTGTCAATTACCGGTACCGATGTGAGATCACAACTCACGTAACGCACGTAGTCCATTGGTTGAATCGAATAAAACAGCTGATATTCGGTAGCTGATAACTGCAACATTAATATTACTTTTTTTATTTTTAACGTAACAAAACTTCTACAGTTATTAAGGACTATTATTACTATTGCTTTTTATTGCTATCACTGATGAGGATAATATAGTGTGATTGAACTGCACATACTAAAGATAATAATAATAATAAAAACAACAATAACAGCAATAATTGGCCTGCTCGCCCAGCCAGCCAGGTAGCGTCAATCAAGGCTAAAACAGTGCGAACGGAAACGCGAACATTGTGACCAGCAACGTTATAAACGTCAGATAGTCTGGCCAATCCAGTGGATCCAGTAAATAGCAATAATAATAATAATAATAATAATAATAATAATAATAACAATAATAATAATAACAATAATAA